ATATTTGTTTGAGTGCCACCTTCAGTACAGTCGTACACTAATTACACACTCATATAAACACCATTTTGATGTTTAAAAGTAGGTGAATCATTAATGGTAGTTATTTTGTCTACCTCTTGCAATGATTGATAAAATTTCCTGTACATGTCTTATTACTCCCAAAAATTGTGTAGTTGGTACTTCTCATGATTGAATGTCATCTATGAAATTATATAATCACCAAATTTTATGGCATAGGTTGGAGTTACTGGATATTGCATGGGTGGTGCTCTTTCCATTGCAAGTTCTGTTTTAGTTCCGGGTGTTGATGCTGTTGTAGCATTCTATGGAGTACCTCCTGCTGAGCTTGCAGACCCTGCCAAGGCTAAGGCACCTGTGCAGGCTCATTTTGGTGAGGAGGATGTGTTGGTCACAAAAGAGGTAAGATAAAAGTCTAGAGGGGGGTGAATAGACTTGTATACCGATTTTGCGAAATACAACAATTTCTAAGACAATAGAGAAACCAAAACTCTTAACCATATCTCACAACTCCGTGTGACAATCTTCTTCCTACACTCCCGTAGGGACTTCACTTGTTTGTAGAAAAACAAGTTTTTCTCTTGTTTTTGAATACTAGTAGACTTTAAAGACTATAAAAGTTTGAATTGAATACCTGTATACTTTTAAAGACTAAGTATGAATCGAAAACCAGTAGAGTTTTAAAGAGTTTAAAAGTCTGATCAAATACCACATTACCACCAAACTTTTAAAGTCGTTAAAAGTTTATAAAAGTCTTGATTGAATACACCCCCTAGGCTAAATTACTCACCAGGTTTACTTGTCTAACATGTCTTTTAAGGGGGCGTTTGTTTTAGGTAATCTTAGATTACCTAGGTAATACCTTGTTTGGTTCAAGTTATGAGATTTCCGCAAAAATGCCTACATTTTCCCCCGTCAACGGAAAATGTTTTCCGTTGATTGGATTTTCCTACTGCATCCAAACACTGAAAACTCAGAAAACATTTTCTAGAAGTCATTTTCCGGGTTTCCAAACGGACCCTTAAAAAAAAAAAAAAAAAAAAACGGACCCTTAATGAAATAAGAATACCTTCTGCCTCCTGGAACTGAGTTTTGAGTGTCCAATCAGAGTCCTGAAAACATATTGTAGCTTTCATAATTATCTACATCTTAGAGGGATGAATGTTTAAGGGGATAAAAAGAAAATGTTCACACCTTTTTTACATGCAATTAAAAGACGTGTAAAATGCTGATTATTGTCATTCTGTAACTGTTCTTTTCAGTGCATGGTTATTTTACTTTTAATCTGAACTGAAGTTTCATCTTTGTTCCTTGTTGCATATTGTTGAGTGGAATTAGTTTTCAAATATATATACAATCATTGATGCTGCATTTACTATGACACGGGTTGAACATTTTTGTTGTGCCTGAGAGAAATGTGTGTCTGAAACTTGTGATAAACCATAATGGAGTATGAAATATGTTTTCCAGTCTGGGCAAGCTTTGGAGGAGAAGCTGAAGGCATGTGGAGTTCCACATGAAGTGTACTTCTATCCAAAGGCTGGGCACACGTTTATGAACACCTCCCCTGATGGTGTGCAGAGGAGGAGAACCATGGGAGATTCTGATGTTGAAATTGCTACGGTGGAGCTGGCATGGTCACGTTTCCGGTCATGGATGAGCCGCTTCTTGTCTGCCTAAACAAAAGCTAGTTGCTGATCCTACTACCAATAAGGTATGTTTGTTCGTTCGCGGTCTGGCATTGTATATTACACTAAAGTACTGCACTTTGACATTTTATCACATCTTGTGTTTATTGGCAAATGGTGTATATTTGAGATTCAAATTAGCTCGTTCGTGTAATAGGCAAATGGTCAACCAATGAGTTTGTTCGTTCGTGGATCATGTTCAAATACGGTATCGTTTTGTTTTGTTTTGTTTTTTATTTTTTGTTTTTGCTATTACCATAAACCAATGGTGTATCACGTTACAAATATGTATATTGTCAAATGAAATTGTATTAGATTATTAAAATGATACTTTAATGTTGTTATAATTAACTAGTGTGTGGAAAATGAAACTAAAAAACGAAACCCATGCAATAACTTATATTATCAAATGAACTTAAGGGGGCGTTTGGTTCAGGTCATTTTTGATTACCTAGGTAATCTGAGTCTGGTAATATTATATTACCTTGTTTGGTTCAAGTTATGAGATTACCTGGTAATGTTATATTACCTGAAAGTTGATGTGGCGGTAATGTTTCAAGGTAATGTGATTACCCCCATTTTTTTTAGGTAATCTTAGATTATCTTGAATTATTTCAACTTTGCCCTTGTTAACTAATCCTTATCCTTATAATAATAATAATAATAATAATAATAATAATAATATTATTATTATTATTATTATTATTATTATTATTATTATTATACTATAAAATATACACGTGTATATTTATATATTTAGTTTTTTAATATTTGAACATTGATATACATTCATACACATGTTCAAACGCCCCCTAAGTGTAATATAATTAAAATGATAGTTCAGAGTTACTACAATAAAACTAGTGTGTATGGATGAAACTAAAAAACATAGTCCATACGATAATACGATAACATATATTGTCAAATGAATATGAAATATAATTAAAATGATACTTAAACATTCCTATAATGAAACTAGTATGTGTGGAAAATGAAAAAAAAAAAAAAAAAAAACAGAGCTCATGCAATACTACATTTTATCAAATGAATATGACGTGTAATTAAAATGATACTTCAACATTACTATAATAAAATTAGTATTTATGAAAAATAAAACTTATATAATAACGTATATTATCAAATAAAACGACAATTTATATCGTGCACCATGACGCACATAGCAATGTGCGCCTAGACACAAAACGCGCATGTTTCAATTGCTGACATCACTCCGCTCGTCCAAACAGTCCAAATCCTATTATGTGTATTCAGTTAAAAGTTTATGTGTATTGTGTTATGAGTTTCTGTGTATTTAGTTAAGAGTTTCTGTGTATTCAGTTAAGAGTTTATGTATATTCAGTTAACAGTTTCTGTGTATTCAATTAAGAGTTTCTGTGTATTCAATTAAGAGTTTTTGTGTATTTAGTTAAGAGTTTCTGTGTATTCAGTTAAGAGTTTCTGTATATTCAGTTAAGAGTTTCTATGTATTCAGTTAAGAGTTTCTGTGTATTATGTGTATTCAGTTATGAATTTATGTGTATTTGAAAAAGAGAATTTTTTTAATTTTTTAAATTTTTTTTTAACAATGCACCAAAACGACGTCGTTTTGGGTAGGGCTGGGCGCACAATATAGCACAATATATTGTGCGCCCTGGTGCACGATATAACGACTGAAATAAAACTGAACTGTAATTGAAATGATAGAATGCCATTTTTACTTCATGGTCCAAAGGGCTAATTATGTTGTGCATCCCGTATGCACCATGCATGGTGCATACGGATGCAAAAACGACGTCGTTTTATTAAAAACGCACCAAAACAACGTCGTTTTGGGTAGGGCTGGGCGCACAATATATTGTTCGCCCTGGTGCACGATATAATGAATGAAATAAAACTTAACTGTAATTGAAATGATAGAATGTCATTTTTACTTCATGGTCCAAAGGGCAAATTATGTTGTGCATCCGTATGCACCATGCATGGTGCATACGGATGCAAAAACGACACTGTTTTATTAAAAACGCGCGTCTCCCCTTAAAAAAAAAAATTCAGGTTCAATTCCCAACAACAACATATGAACTAAAATTCCAGAATCGATGAACTATAATTCCAGAATCGATTAACTATAATTCCATAATCTATGAACTAAAATTCCATAATCTAATCTATGAACTAAAAATTCCAGAATGAATGAACTAAAATTCCAGAATCTATGAACTAAAATTTCAGAATCGATGAACTACAATTCCAGAATCGATGATATATAATTCCAGAATCAATGAACTAAAATTCCATAATCTATGAACTAAAATTTCAGAATGAATGAACAACATAATGTTGTTGCTGGGAATCGGACCTGAATTTTTTTTAAGTGGAGACACGCGTTTTTAATAAAACGACGTCGTTTTTGCATCCGTATGCACCATGCAAGGTGCATACGGATGCACAGAATAACTACTCGGTCCAAAGTAAATTTTGTGTATTGTATAACGCACCACAATAACTCATTCAATGAGTAACATTATTTTTAGGCAATTTATATCTTACACCACGGCGTGCGTTGCACTGTGTCCCCGGATGCAAAACGACGTCGTTTTAATTTTTTTTTTTTTTAATTTTTCGCCCCAGTGAATGGCAGTAATTTTTTCTTTAAAAAAAAAAAACCCGCTGTTCAAAAATATACATAATGTTATACTAGAATACACATAATTGTATACATGAATGTACATAATTATATAACAAAATGTACATACTCTTTTTAAAAGATAATACACATAATCTAACATAATACATAATAAACATAAATTTTTAACATAATACACATCAACTCTTAACATAATACACACAAATTTTCTGATTCGAATGTACATAATTGTATAAAAAGAATGTACATAATTGTATAAAAAATGTACATAACTGTATGAACAAATACACATAATTGTGTAAATAAATACACATAATTGTGTGAACAAATACACATAATCACAGCAACTTCCTACCGCGCTTCCCAAAACGATCAAATACACATAATTGTGTGAACAAATACACATAATCATAGCAACTTCCTACCGCGCTTCTCAAAACGGGAGGTGCGCAGCGCATAGTGCTACGCGTGCCGTGGTGTCGGGTATAACGATTGTTATGTTATTTTTAACAAACCATTTTCTGCTCACCCAGTTTTACCCTTTAGATGGCCCAAGCCCAATAAAAATCGAAAGGAATCGAAAAGGAGAAGGTCATACCCAAAACGGCGCCGTATTGCGAGTAACGCAGTGTCACACTGTCACTGCAATAGTGCCATCACATCATGGTAAATTCAGAAAGAAAAAAAAAAAGGTAAACAAAAACCTACATAAAACTCCCTGTAGAAGCCATGATTAGTACTTGTTCTAGATTCTTCGCCGGCATCAGAGCAGCTCCGACCATCTCGCTTGTACGGAAAGTCTCTCCTCTCTCCGTCTCCGGTTATCGGCTTCAGGTTCGCGCCATGGCTGACTCATCTGCTCCCTTCAAGAAAGTTCAGATTCAGAGAGACGACACTGTATGTATCCGTTACTCTCCCGTATCTTTTTTTTTTTCTTTTTTTTTCTTTTTAAATATATTTTTTAAAAAATTGTTAAATTCTTTTTAAGAATCATTTCCATACCGGTTAAACGTGTTTTCATGTTCTTCCATTGTAAATGCAGCACAGTTGAATTCTTTCTGGTTGTATACTCCATTTTCTGTATTAAGAAATGCTCGAAACAACTAGCAAAATTAGTGCGTTTTTTTTTTTTTTTCAAACAGGAGAAATAAGAATCCGTTTGAAGTCGATAATCTCATAATCACACTATAAAGTTTTATAAGATTTTTCTAATTTTTAGCTGTATAGTCCATTTACCTTATGATGGCTTAAGAAAAATGTAAAAAGAAGCCCAGAAAATTTCCATTAGTAAAAACAAGGTGAATGGGAAAATCATAAGCATGTAATGAGATTCATCCGATCAAGATCTGGTTGAGTTTAATAAGAGTGCGCAGTTGCTTATATTTTTTTTGAACACTATTGCCTCTATTACAATGTAGTATTGTTCATAACTACTTTCTCAACCAAATGAAGCACAAAGAGCCAATATCGCCTCCACCGAGGCTCGAACCCACAACCTCCCCTATGGGGAGCAACTTGGTGTCATTGGACCGCAGTTGCTTACTTGCGTATATAGTTATATTACTAGTTGATCTTGGGTTCTTATTACTAGTTGTAGCTATTTATATTTTTAACCACCTAGTTCATAGTCAACTTCAACCACCTCGTTCGTAGTCAACTTCAATCGGATGAGTTCCTCTTGTTCTCTACCCACTTGAGCAGCAAATTTGTCAGTTTTCATGCAACTTAGGTTTGCAGTTTGCAGTTGCTTAATATGAAACATTAGGTACGTAATTTGAAACTTTGAGGATTTAAGTGCTTGTCTAGAGTCTAGCTGTCTAGAGTATCTTTGGGGTGTCCTACTTCAATATTTGATTAAAAAGATGAGAAAATTTTCTTTTTGTGCATTGGTTCACAAGAAGTGGAAGAAACTATTGAGTATCAATGTATTAGGGCACCCTAGGTATTCTCTTTTTATCTACAAAGTGTTGATTTTGATGATAATGTCATTTTTTTTTTTGAAATATTTTATATTTTTAATTCGTTTTTTTTTTTTTTTTTTTTTTTTTTTTTCAAATGAAATACAGAAAGAAATGAAATATTAGGTTTGAGCTACTATTTGTAAGTGCTCTCCATTTGATTTCTTTCTATGGGAATCTGAGAAGATATTCTCTGTTCTCGTTACTTTATACTGAAAAATTGACTGTAATTCTCTGTGAACTTATTTTTTACATCTGCTTTTTCATTTGATGTTGCTTCACTTCATGGCAACTAAATCCCTATTCTCTTCATTTCTTCGGTCTAAAAATATCAAACAGACATTTGATGCATATGTAATTGGAAAAGAAGATGCTCCTGGAATTGTTGTGCTTCAGGAATGGTGGGGCGTGGACTTTGAGATTAAAAACCATGCTCAGAAGATCTCTCAATTTGACTCTGGCTACAAGGCACTTATTCCTGAGTAAGACCCCTAGTGCATTAGTTTAGTTCAATTGGTCACTTCTCTGAGAGAAATCAAAGAGTATAACTTGTTATTTTTCTTTTAATTTCAGTCTGTACCGTGGAAAGGTTGGGTTAGATGTTGCAGAAGCACAACATTTGATGGATGGTCTTGACTGGCAGGGAGCCGTCAAAGATATTCAGGCTTCAGTGAACTGGCTCAAGGCAAATGGATCAAAGAAGGTTGGTTCTTTTTGCTTTGTATTGTTGATCTAATGATCACAATTCTCAAATGAAACTTTTAAGTAAAATAACTTGTAATGTATCATGACGTAATATGATGAGAATTGCAATTATCTTTGGAGTTTGCATATTCTTTCTTCTTTTCCAAAACATTAAAAAGTAAAAAAGAAAAGAAAAGAAAAACAACTCTTTAATATGCTCCAAAGAAATGGTTCCAGAGTAGTAGATATTCAGCTTTCTTAAAATCTGCACATATGTACTATCACTCTGTCCACTGTTTAATGGAAATTTTAGTGTTTTTGATTGTTGGGCCAGGAGATCTCCTTGGAGAAGTGCTTGATTTCTTAAATTTGCATACTTTTGCACGTTTTTTGTTTCCAGGCATAATTCTAAAATTTTTGAGAACCATATTTGTTTGAGTGCCACCTTCAGTACAGTCGTACACTAATTACACACTCATATAAACACCATTTTGATGTTTAAAAGTAGGTGAATCATTAATGGTAGTTATTTTGTCTACCTCTTGCAATGATTGATAAAATTTCCTGTACATGTCTTATTACTCCCAAAAATTGTGTAGTTGGTACTTCTCATGATTGAATGTCATCTATGAAATTATATAATCACCAAATTTTATGGCATAGGTTGGAGTTACTGGATATTGCATGGGTGGTGCTCTTTCCATTGCAAGTTCTGTTTTAGTTCCGGGTGTTGATGCTGTTGTAGCATTCTATGGAGTACCTTCTGCTGAGCTTGCAGACCCTGCCAAGGCTAAGGCACCTGTGCAGGCTCATTTTGGTGAGGAGGATGGTATTGTTGGATTTTCAGATATAAAGGTATACTGCCTTGTTCTTGGTTAATTTTATATAGATTATGCTTTATTTGCACCCTTCTATTAGTCTATAGCATCATCAGCTGATGAGGGGAATTATTCAAGAATATCCAAACATTGTTTTAAAAAGTGATTGTTTGGGTATGATTTGCTATTCCAAAAGAAATATTTCCTGAGCAGAACCTCAAAATGCATTTGTTTACAACAATTTATTGTATGCATTGTAGTTTGCTTTAATAGTCAATGGATGTGATTGTGTGGGTTTGATGTGCCTTTCAAATATATATATATATATATATATATATATATATATATATATATATATAATCATTGATGCTGCATTTACTATGGCACGGTTGAACATTTTTGTTGTGCCTGAGAGAAATGTGTGTCTGAAACTTGTGATAAACCATAATGGAGTATGAAATATGTTTTCCAGTCTGGGCAAGCTTTGGAGGAGAAGCTGAAGGCATCTGGAATTCCACATGAAGTGTACTTCTATCCAAAGGCTGGGCACGCGTTTATGAACACCTCCCCTGATGGTGTGCAGAGGAGGAGAACCATGGGAGAGTCCGATGTTGAAAATGCTACGGTAGAGCTGGCATGGTCACGTTTCCGGTCATGGATGAGCCGCTTCTTGTCTGCCTAAACAAAAGCTAGTTGGTGATCCTACTACCAATAAGGTATGTTTGTTCGTTCGCGGTCTGGCATTGTATATTACAATAAAGTTCTGCACTTTCTTGTGTTTATTGGCAAATGGACCTATAAATAGTATTCTGTTTTCCAGTCGACCTGAGTTTGCACATTTATGAAGCATTGTGTTTGAATGGGTAGTTACCACCATTTTTCTTCACTGACTCGTTACCACTTTCCTCTCTGCTAATCACTATTGTCACCACCATATTCACTTCATAATCACTGGATACATACTACACAAACCCAATCAGGTTCAACAAGGATTGGATAAACATTTTGGCCTGGCCATGATAGGAGTAGAAAAAGCAGCCACCAAGTTGCCAGCTTCATATCTCAACATGACTAAAATGTTTAATGTTATAAGCAACCTATGATTTACGTAGGAGTAGTTTGATTTTCGGTTCGATTAAGTGGGACTTGAGATTCCAACAAAACTTTAATTGAAGTTTGCCAATATTGCGAGACTACAACGGTAATTTCGGTGTATGTTTTTTTTTTTTTTTTAAATGTATATTAGCTTGGTCAAATATTAAATTAATTTTCAACATCCAACCACTTTAATTTTCAGCTAAATGGGTCAAACAGAGCCAAAAATAATAATCCTTGTCGAAAATCAAGCAAGTAACTGAAGCAAGGTTATAAAAATGAGGTCAAATATGATGTTTCGTTGACATCGAATCATTGGGTTTTCACACTAAGTAGACTGATTAATTGATTTTTTTTTAAACAGTATTATCAATAATTCACAAAGAAAAAATAATTTTAGGGATGAAAGACATAATATGGCCCAAAAAAAAAGAGTTTGAACTTATCCTATTAATAAAGAGAAAAATAAATAAATATTACTCTAAGTTCAAAAATAGTGACAGAGTAATTAAAACATGATTCTCGTATTTAATTGTTATGAGTTTTTTTTTTTTTTTTTTTGATAACTTAGTTTTTTTGACTTTGCAGTACTTAAATGTCCTGTCTTTCTCCCCATTTCCTTCGGAGACAGAGTTGTTTTCTGAGGATATTCTTCTCTCCCCTCCCACCATTTTTCTCCTCCCATTTTTTTTTTTCATTTAATCTCCACCATTGGAGATACTCCAAGTGAGACTTTTCATCGAGTTAATACCCAAAATAGTCCCTCGACTATGTCGTAATTACCAATTTGGTCCTCGACTATCATTCTTACCCAATTAAGTCCTCAACTATATAATTTTTACCCAATTTAGTCCTTTGTCAATTTGACTGTTTGTTGACTGTCAAAAGTGGAAATAAAGTTGTAATTTTACAAGTTTTCTCCTTCCTCTTCATTTAGCAGCGCCAAACCATGTAGCAATAAGCTCCGGTTGGGTTCTAAACCTGTCAGTATCGAAGTAGTGGTTATGCATCGGATAGCCCATGAATTTGATTTCCAACGATTTTTTGACGATCGAAATCTGATCGGAGTGTATTGCTGCATGGTTTGGCGCAGCTAAATGGAGAGGAAGGAGAAATCTTGTAAAATTATAATTTTATCCCGACTTTTGACAGTCAACAAACAGTCAAATTAATACAGAAGACTAAATTGGGTAAGAATTGTATAGTTGAGGACTAAATTGGGTAAGAATTGTATAGTTGAGGACTTAATTGAGTAAAAGTTACATAGTTGAGGACTTAATTGGGTAAGAATGGTAGTTGAGGACTAAATTGGTAATTATGGCATAGTCGATGGACCATTTTGGGTATTAACTCCTTTTCATCTATTAGACCAATGTCTACATCTTTTAGAAATACGAGTTTAGTTTTTGCCTACATCTTTTCCATCAAACTTGTTGCAAAAGGTCAGATCTTCTTAATATTGTTGAGTTTATCCGAACACATCCTCACTAACAAAATTATTATTAGTACCTCGGTACACCTCAATACTCAAAAGACTTAGTTAATACTAAAAGAAATTTAATACCATCTTTAATATGGGAAAAGAAATAATCAATAGAAGTGATTAAAATATGAAATGCTGAAAACGATGCATCAACTTGTTGGTGTGAAGCAGTGGAAATACACACGTTGATGCCACATTTAGAATACCCAAATAATTAATCAGAATCCGACAATTATGGATTCCCACCTTATCAAAAATTTATTGATACATATTTTATTTTGAAAAAAAAAATATTTTTTCACTACTGAAAATTCTGAAATTTCCGACCACTTGAAAGTGATCTTAAATCAAGTCGAAAGTCTTGTTCCGATCATTTTTGGTATCCGAAAAAATCCTTGTAGCTATTTCCGACCACTTTTTACTTTCAACTTGATTTAAGATCACTTTCAGGTGGTCGGAAATTCAATAATTTCCAGTAGTGTTTATATATAACACATCGTCATCATGTATCTTCATTACTAAAAGACTAATTTACTACCAATTTTACTCTTGACAAACCAGTTTGGTCTAATGAACTACCAATGTATCTTCATTATTGTACGATTAATTCAAATTTATTCGAGTCTACATATTAATAATTGTTCTTACCGACTTAAATATCATATCCCATCCTTGATTTATGGCGGTCTGCAACACTCTTCTTCTATACTGATTCATGAAGTCAACGTCTTTGGGACTTTTGTTAGTGTGTAATCTTATTTCTTGATTTTTGAATTGATTAATGCAGTCCACTTTGCATGAAAACAGTTCAATATACACCGTATCAAGTTGATCCTTTAGCAGTACATAGTCATTACCTTTCTGTCTAATGTAATTTTAGTGTGAATTAAGTTGAGAATAATTATAAAATAATAAATGTGTATTATTAAAAATAGTCTTTTTTTTTTGAATGCTACTAGCTCTATTACATTGTAGTATCTGTTCATATACTTTCTCAACCTACTGAAACACCTTGTGCTCAATTGGCACATCTTCATGGTGAAGTATTAACTCTTTGGGCTACAACTGATAGAGAAAGTATATTGAACAGATACTACATTGTAATAGAGTCGATAGTACTAAAAAAATAGTCTAGTTAAAGTGAAAATAAAATGTCTGATCTTTATATATCAATAACATGTCAGGTGTAAGAAATTTAATTCCGCTCAAATTAAGATGCCCAATCACATTGTAGGAAAAATCTCTAAACATATATTGACACTGTTTGGTAACATAATTAGCTTATCGATCAATTTTAACTTATTTGACTATTATTAGCTCTTTTAATTGGTTAAAAAATTATTATAAGTGTAATTAATTAGCCTTTTGTAACAACTTATTGTTTAAAAATGCTAAAATTAAAAATAAAAAAAAAAAAAAAAAAACTCAAAGTAGCTTGTATTTTCGATAAGCTTTTTGAGAAAGTCATTTTTGCATATAATCAACTATCAGCTAACAACTAATTTACCAAATATCTTTCTCCATTCAGCTAATGTTATCAACTAATTAGTCAAACTCACTAACACAATCAGCTAACAGTTAACTGCTATTTACCAAACACCCCATTAATTTAATTACTTGAATTGAAAAATAAAATGAAAACTGGAGAGAGATAACAAGGAGTGCAGTGAGGGGAAAGAAATGATATGATATGATGGTGGCCATGGATGAAAAAGGAAATAAGAAATGAAAATGTGATGAATTGTATACAGCTGGAAAATTATGAAAGACCTAATAATTATAGAGAAAAATGCAATGATGAATTAAAGAGAAAAGAAAAAAAAAAAAGAAAAGAAAAAAGAAGGAGAATTAAATGAATGTGGCTGCCGCCATTAATATAATGCTTTGGACCCAAGATTAATTAGGTAAAACATGCATCCATGTTACAATATAATATCATAGAATATTTACATGATTTTGACTTTGTCAAAAGCTTTTTACAATACTTCAAAAAGTTGGAATGAAAATTGAAGGGGACGGATCCCATTCAGAGGATCAAAGAATTTATGAAGGGATTGGTTTAATTATCGATCATGCATGCATCTTATAAACGAGGTAGTAATTTAATCATTAAATATTTTATATATATATATATATATATATATATATATTCTACAATACTGATTAAAAAACACTATAGATTAATTTGTGATTTTGTAAAGAGTACAATAGTTTATTTTCACTATTTATATTTAAAAAAATGTCACTATTAATTAGTAGTAAATTAATTACACATAGTGTGAGGTCGACATTGTTGAATTTTTCTTAATATATAATATTGTAAATGAGTTTATACTCAATTTACTCCCTAGCTCGACTATTAGGATTTTATCAATTTAGTTCATTGATTACCAAAGTTGTTTAATTTAGTCCTTAATTATGTAATTTTTATCTAAAACGGTCCCTCGACTAATCGGTTATTAGGATTTCACCACTTTAGTCCCCAACTACCAAAGTTGCTTAATTTAGTCATTAACTATGCAATTTTTACCAAAAATGACCCCTCGACTATTAGGATTTCACCACTTTAATTCTCGACTACCAAAATTGCTCAATTTAGTCTCTAACTATTATTATTACACCCTCATTTCTTACTCTCTTATCCCAATCTAATTTATGCAATTAGTAATTAATATTTGTTACTTTTTAAAATAATTACTGCTCATTACAAAACCAATTCAATCAAGTTTATTATGACGTTGAAAGGGAGAAACAAATAAACAAAAACGTGAATGCACTAACTTATAAAAAATTATTTAACAATTTATACTTCTAACTTTAGGCCTAATCTAATAATATAAAGTTTACATTAAAGATGATACATACCACATTTAGCATGTCTAAAGTTTGGAAAGTGTGATAATTAGAGAGGCGATGAGCAGAAATGGTCGAGTAGGTAGAACATGATTCTCGTACTTAATTAATGGTCATGAGTTTAATTTTTGTCAACATTCTTTTGATTGAGCCCACCGCACAGGGTCAATCTTCCTAGTATAATTTACTTTTCCTTTGTGATTTGTGAAATATTACACAAAAATATAATTTATCTAATACACATCTTTAAATAGTGTAGCATTAATTGAATCACGTTTTAGTGTCGTGTTTGTTTGATTTTGCAGTGTAAGCATAATATGAGTGCAATATCTGATCTTTGAAATTATATCTCACATTTTTGGGGGTCAAATCTTGGCCCTACATGTTGGGATTGGTTCCTTCTCCCTTTCCTCATTTGTCTAAAGCTCTTAATTTTTTTGTTGTTAAAATCATCCTCCCTTCAACAAACCATGACACTAGATGACAAAACACTAACACACAAATAAAATATATAATTAAACAAAAACAAAGAACATAAAATTTTATAAACAAAAATTAAAGTTCGGTGCATCCTCCGCCGATCGATCTAATGTTTTACACGATTGTAAATTAAAAAATAAAAATAAAAATAATTGGCCTAAAAGTGGACGAAAATCAAGATTTTGTTAATAGAAATACAATTTTTGTCCACCTTTAATCGACTTTGTGAATTTGTGAAATCGCAGGTCCCTAATGTGTGTCCACTCAAGAGATGGGTAGTAAAGTAGACCATAGACACTCATAAGCTTATTTAGATACATTCATTATTCATTTGTGATTTATTCATTGATAGTTCAAAATTTCTACGACTAGTGAACAAAAAACTTTAGAAAATAATAACTTAATTTTTATGTTTTCTTTCAATTTTTTTTTTTTTATTGTGATGTGACTTTCATTGATTAAAAAATTATGAATTGACTGATCTCACCATTATTTAAAATGAATTTAGTTACCAGTCAAATGATACCAGAAAGTTTGTTAGAAAATATTCTTAGAACATTTCCTCCTGAAATACAGCTAAAATAGGTGTCTATATTTTAGTGACATCCAATAATATATAACACGCCACCTGGCCCGGCCCCATACTCTTAAGCCAAAATTTTTTTCCATTTTCCACCTGAAATGCACAAAACATTTTGTTGTTTACTTTATATTATATTATGCATTGATGAAATGTCTTCTCCTAAAGAACAAAGTCTATGTCCAACTCTACAAGTCTAAGGAAGCCACTACCGATCGACATCTCTATCTGGACAAACTAAGTACGTGTGGAAAGTTTTGGAAGCTGCTTCAACTAACGTTAAGATCAGATGAATGAATGTGTTGAATTTATGAGAGGTCACATGATTCATGGTCTACGGATAAAACCGACTGCCACTGCATGCAAACAAATATATATATAGAAAATGATAGTTGGGAAAAACCCAATCAAGTTATTCAGGTTAGATAAGCACAAGATTCTAAGTTTCACATTTAATGAGAGGGCATATTTGTCTTTTTTTTTTATTTAAGTCAGTCGGCTATGAACAACCTAAACTGGTTTATCTTTTTGTGATTATCTGCTGACTGAGGTTACAAAGTGGATTTAATTTACTCATAAATTTTCAAACAGTGATTGTAAATTTTTCTTGTCACTAGAAAATGAATGGTAGCTAGCTAGCTAGCATGATTAAATCGATCAACTATGAACAACTTAAATTGATTTATCTCCTTATAAATTTTTTGTCGAATAAGATTACAAAACGAGATTTACTTTAAAATGCTTAAACAGTAATCGTAGATTTTTCTGGTCATTAAAAAAATGGTAGCGAGCATGATAACAATGCAAAGACAGCTACTCGATCCATCCATGATCCGTGTATTTATATGCCCTTTTTGACTGGTTTCTCCCTAATCAGTGCACGGATCCACACGGGAGATTGTTTTCTGCGTCACTGTTGACTCCAAAGAGAATTTGGCTGGTTCGTAGATGGTGAAGTCTATGCCAAGTTTAAAGAATTGTTTTACTTGCAACTCGGATCAATTGGATTACCATAATTCAATTCATTCACTTTAATCCAATCTAAAGATAATATAATTTAAAATTAGGATTTGATTGGAACACTTTGGGTTAGTTCACAAGTAACAACCAATGAAAAATAAAAATGTAATCCTAATAAATAAATTGAAAATGAATGTTATGTGTGGTTACGTTGAAAATGGTATAAGTCAGGATGCCATGAGATACGTTTCATTAATGGATGATCATAATAATTGTGTCTTGATAATGAACGGATGTGTGTCTTAATTAGTTGTGAACATGATGCGTGTTGAAGATGGTTTAAGTACGTAGACCAATATCACTATTCTTCTTATGATTAATTAATTAATTATCATTACAAATATTAAATATCTTATATATATGTTTTAGTTCGACCTCTAATTCAATTCATAATCAAATTGATAATGAAATCAAATATATAAAATCAAACTCTAAAACAGTACAACTAGAAACTAATTACAAATCAAATATTAAACTAGCTACCTTGTTTATATATGTTGTTAGCTTCAAAACCCTAATATGACATGAATTTGTCAATTTTTTTTTTTTTTTAGTATTGGTTATGATTAATATGCTTAATACCTCTATGTTTATTATTATAATTTGTATTATTTTTGTTTTGTTTCTCGCATTGTTTTAGGTGTTCTATTGACATTTGAAGATTTTAAGGTTACTTTATTTTAATTTATATATTTTTCATTCTTATATAAACTCAAAACAAATAAAAATGAAATAAAATCTAAGTTAGTTTGATTTGTTAAAGTAGGAAATTAAATCAAAGTGATTAGTTTGGCCTTCGGACCAAATCAAATGCCTCATATTCCTACCCATAACCACTACGTACTAAAAAGTTCGTTTTTTTTTTTTTTTTTTTTTTTTTTTAAATGGAGGAAATAATGCCTGCTCTATTTTGGCAGATTTCTACAAGGTTTTTTTTTTTTTTTTTTTTTTTTTTTTTTGTATTTATTATAGATTTAATTGCATGGAAAGTTATATTATACATAATAAGAATTAATTACTGAAATGATCCCTTGACTATAACGAAATTATCAATTTGGTCATTGATTTTTTTAACAAATTAAGTCCCTCAACTTTAAAAATCTTAACCAATTTGGTTCTCCGTTTGTTTTGCCGTTAGAGATCTGTTACTTAGGACCAAATTGATAATTTCGTTATAGAACGGACTATTTAATTAACTTTTTGAAGAAAATGATACATGGGATCAAGGTCAAACGTTTGAATCCCGTGTGGGTATTGACTCTTTGTACTTCAATACTACATTGTAATAGAATCAGTAATATTAAAAAATTAAAAATAATAATAATAATATAGGCACCCCACCAGTCACCCACCCTAGCAATTAGCACAGGCTTGTGAAATTAGTCTTCTCAGAATTCTCAAGTCTCACAACCTCCCATTATTATTGCCGAGTCCATTGCTCCGTTCTCCATTTCTCGATCTCTTTCCATTTTCTCTCTCCCTCCTATATCTACTATACTATTCACTTCCTTAACTAACTCTCTCATCTATCTTCTTCATTTCATTTATGGCCAAAGCTCGTGGTGGACTCCCCTTTCATCCAGATCCCATCTCTGCAGATAACCACCATTCTTTCCGTCAACCACACCCACTCCCCTCGCCAATGGACTCTCCGGTCAACAACTCGCCCCCCACTCTCCACTTCCCCGTCGACGTTCCCTGCACCGCCGATCATCACAATGATCATCGCAAGAGAACTCATGTATTGGGTGAAGTGGACTTCTTTGCTGACAAGGACGACGACCGAGCCTCCGGTGCCGCCGTGCCTACTGCCGCCGCCGCCGCCGACTTGGATTTTAATGTGAACGTAAGCCACCGGAATCTCCATTTTCCTGATTCAATTGTATAACAAAATTAACGTACGCGGACTTGCTCGTTCGTTATGAATTATAAACTCGTTTTTGGATGGACAGATTGGTTTGCATCTTCATACGACAAATGCTACCGGTGGCCGGTCAATAGTTGAGGATGGCCTATCACCTAACTCTCAAGACAATAGAGCTAAGAATGAGGTTAGTTTTTATTTTACACATTAAATTTTTTCAATTTAAAAAAAAAAAAAAATCACTAAATCTTTACATCCTCTCACCGGCCTGCTTTAATTTGTAATGTCTGGTTGAGGACTCAACATTTTGAGAAAAGAGTTTACTGTTAACTACAGTACTATGTAGTGTGATAATACCTCTATTACCCTAACATATATTATCCTATATATATAGAATCATAAGTGTTTTTAAAAAAATGAGACAGAATTTACTAATAAAAATATTTGTAATATGTTATGATATAATATTACAATTTATAAGATTTTAAGATTAATTATTTCAATGTTTCATGGTACTATTTGTATAGTATAAGGTGATATATATACTAAAGTGTGAGCCACAACAACTACTATTTGCTGGTTGTTTTTCAGGTAGGAGTTATTAAAGCTGAATTGGACAGAATGAACGCAGAAAATCAACATTTAAGGGACATGCTAAATCAAGTCACCAACAACTATAGTGCTCTCCAAACACATTTGACTTCTCTAATGCAACAACAAAAGCCTCTGAGGCCGTTTATGGGTCTCGGGGCCGAGGCGGCGGAGGATGCGTCGCAGTCGTCCTCTGAGGGGAGGAGCGGTGGCGGCGAACCGCCACGGTCTCCGGTGAATAATAATGTGGAAAGCATGTCGGGAGAGAATATATATAGCTTGGAAAAAGGGTCAAGTAGTAGTAATGTAAAGGTTGCTAAGACTACAGGTCAGGGTTCAAAAAGTAGTAGTGGTAATGTTGATCAAGCTACTGAGGCTACTATCAGAAAGGCTCGTGTCTCCGTCAGGGCTCGATCCGAGGCTGCAATGGTGTGCACGTACATATACAAATTAAATTAAATATTCAATTTATTTGTTTCTAATATTCTTCTGTTCAATTCGTTGCGAATTAATTAATTAATGACGTATGTATGTATGTAGTTTTGGTTTAATTTGATCCTCTTTTTCATTTTAGATCACAGATGGGTGTCAATGGCGGAAGTATGGGCAGAAAATGGCGAAGGGAAACCCGTGTCCCCGCGGCTACTACCGGTGCACCATGGTAGCTGGCTGCCCAGTTCGGAAGCAAGTACGTATATCATATATCTCCGGACATATATAAAATGAGACAAACAAAATTGAAATTAAAACAACCCCACCCAAGTTGGCCAGAAGGTTAACTTGTTGGTAATTACAAAGTTACAAGTTTTAATTCTTGAGGGAGCCTATTATTGGCCTTCTTGATTTGAAATGGACAATAATTGACAACTAAGACTAGTTTACTTCATTTCATTGTATTAAGTCGGTTGATTTTACGGCCACCGGATAGTCGGACGGCGGGTCAATACAATTGTAAAATAATAAGAAAAACTAAGAGAGAAAGTTGACAGAACTAGATCGAATTGAATTCAGAACGCTTTACAATGTGGCCCAATTGGTATTTATACAAGATTCATGAGCTTCGGACAGGAAAGAGGGAAGAAACTAACAAATTTGAACTTAGTAAAGCTTTAAAATCCTATGTTTCCTCCCTACTATTAAAAAAGGAAACCCCACACCAAATCCCTCCAACCGCCTCTGAGTGCTACACTCGGCCAAGAACCCCCACTGCTTGCCTGCCCTGGTCACCTAGCCAATTCAAGCCGGCCAAGTGGACCACACGAGTGAATCGGGGGCAGGCTACTGAGGCCCACCTGTCCTCCAAGAACATAGTTGAACTATGAATCTTGACTACCAAGGTGTTGTCTTGACTGCAGGGTACCCTACATTATAACTTCATTGCATTGTAGTACTATATGTCTTTTGTAGCTAGGATCACAAGACTCGATTTACTTATAGTGCAACCAATTTCCTAGTCACTCACAAGGCGAATTTCTCGGATATACACACTCGAATAATGGCTATAAATTTTCTGATCACTCACAATACAAAATTTACCTAATGTTTACTACTACTGATTTTTCTGGTCACTAAAAAAACACACACAAGAAAGAGTTTCTTTTTCTTACAGTTAGAATATTCTATTGATAGGTCCAAAGATGTGCAGAAGATAGGACTATTTTGATCACAACCTACGAAGGCAATCATAGCCACCCGCTGCCGCCGGCAGCTATGGCGATGGCGTCCACGACCTCCTCCGCCGCGAGAATGCTCCTTTCAGGGTCGATGCCAAGCGCTGACGGGGCATCCGTGGCGGCGCTAATGAACAACTCGAACTTCCTTGCCAGAGCCTTCCTCCCGGCGGGCATGGCTACAATCTCAGCCTCAGCACCTTTCCCTACCGTTACATTAGACCTAACCCAAACCCAAACCCAAACCCCCACCCCCAACCCCCTCCACTTTCCAAGAATACCCCCCAACCATTCCCACAATAATCAAGCTGCCTTGTTGCCTCTTTTTGGGCAGCCTTTGTCCAACCAAACCAAATTCTCCGGCCTTCATCTCTCACACGGCTTGGAAAATCAAGCAATGCATCAGCAGAACCCGGCCGAGTTGGCCGTCACCGTGAACGCCCTGACGTCGGATCCTAACTTTCCGGCAGCCCTTGCGGCGGCCATCGCTTCCATTCTCGGTGGTTCGGACAACACTGCTGCTAGCAACGCCGCCACCCTCGGGAACGACAATGCCGGCAGCGTTACCATGGAAACTACCAAGTAACCTGTTACGTTCCATGCATATTTCCAGTTTAATATATAGTCCCACTTCATTATATTTATTTATCTTTTATCAATTTTCATTTTTCGAACAATTTAAACAATACTTATTATACTTTTTTTTAAAAAATGTACTGTATGTTATTCATATGATTTTTTTGTTGGAGTGCTGTAATTTAAATCACGGTATGTAGTCAACATAGAAGAAGAGCTATAAATTAATGAAGTTTTTTTTTTATTTTTTTGAAAGTTACTGGCTCTATTACATTGTAGTATCTGTTCATATACTTTCCAATGGCTCTATTACATTGTAGTATCTGTTCATATACTTTCTCAACCTACTGAAACACAAAGAACCAATGGCTCTATTACATTGTAGTATCTGTTCATATACTTTCTCAACCTACTGAAACACAAAGAACCAATGGCTCTATTACATTGTAGTATCTGTTCATATACTTTCCAATGGCTCTATTACATTGTAGTATCTGTTCATATACTTTCTCAACCTACTGAAACACAAAGAACCAATAACGCCTCCACTGAGGCTCGAACTCATAATCTTCCAAATGGAAGTCCAACCCGGGTACCATTAGACCACATAGTCCTGGTAATGAAGTTAATTATATATATATTGCTTTGAACTCAATTCTATGGTGGTAGCTAGAGTACGTCTTGCTTATTGTCTTGCTTGATGTACCATCGCAACAAGGTGGTGGTTGAAGAGGAATTTTATGGTTTATTTTATTCATATGTTAGCTTGTAATGCATGGCGGCACTGAGGTTGGGTCGTGATAATATTATTTGCATCAGTCGTACACAATTTGCTTACACTATATTACCAATGATTTTGATGGTTAAATTTGAAATTGAGTGGTTAGATAATATGTTGTCTTAGAGATCACTGATTACTTTACTTCGTGTTTAAGAGTCATTTGGAAACTTAAAAATGTTGTATGGAAAATTATTTTCAGAAAGTGACTCATTTTTTTTAAACATTTTAATTTTTTAGTGGTTAACTGAAGGTTAGAGAGTTGGCTGGGAGTTATAAAGTTGTATTTTGCTGTTTTGATTCATTTTCATGAAAATTAATATATTATTTGGTGGCAATGGGGTGGTCGTGGTGTTAGTTGCGGTGGTATTGGTGGTGTGTTTTTTTTGTTTTTGTTTTTTTTTTTTTTTTTTTTTTTCAAATACAAAAGAAGGGTGGAACTCCGAAAACAAAACAAGCTAAGTCAGTCACCATGAACATAAAGAACACCTAAACGATCCTTGCGGATACATTCTGCGAGTTCGGCATATATTGGTGGTGTTGGTTGCGGTGATAGTGGTGGTGTTGGTGGCGATGGTGATTGTGTGGTGCATGTGTTGGTTGTAATAATAATAATAATAATAATAATCTATAAACTAGCTTGAAGAGAGATAAGAGAAAATAGAAACATAAAAATAAAGAATTCAGAAAATATTTTTTCACTAAAAATTAAGAAGATATTTTACACTAAATTGGACTTTTTTTTTTTGTTTTTTGTTTTTTGTTTTTTTTTTTTTTGTTTTTTGTTTTTTTTTGTTTTTTTTTTTTTTTTCAGTTGATCATAATGAATATTTTTCTTTTACTCTATTTTATTTGAAACATCCAAACACATAAAATTCAAAAAATTATTTTCAGAAGTTAATTTTTTTGAGTTTTCAATCAGACACTAACTTACCCAATTTGCTTATACTTGAATTAATATATTTTGACCCAGATGTTAACAATTTACATACTACAAACGCACAATGTTAACATATATTCCGAATGTAATTGATTACCTTGTTTTGTATTCACAAGTTCCTTTCAAATTTGATGACATTGTATTGTATTCATCAATTCCCTTCTACTGTACAACTGATATGTGTTTTGACTTAAAAACACAATTTATATTCTAGAAGTTCAAAATTGCAATACTAAAAATACATAATTTATACGTCGTTTAGGACCAATGTCTACCTTACAAAGTGGACCTTGGTCCATGGTATAACAACTCAGTGGTTAACTACACTTGAAATTATCTTCAAGTGGCAAGGTGCGTGAGTGTACGAATCCTAGTTAAAATATCTATTGATGAACTCCATCAATTTGATATGAGATTGAAATTAGTCTCATTATGCGTCTAAATACATATTTATAAAGTTTAAGATATAATTCAGCTGTCAATAATAAATTCACTCCATTAAATATTCAAATTAAATCAAACAAAGAATTCACTTGACAAAATCAATTTTTTTTTTATTTAAAATGTTAGTGAATCTATTACAATGTAGTACATAACAAAATTAACTTAAATTTAAGTAGTCCCAACATTTTTACCCAACAAGTGGGAATGATATTTAAGCATGATACTCCGTACTCCGTAGTAAGAGATTAAATCGACTACTCGCTAATAATTAAGGAAAAAATGCTTTTTACCTAAATTTTATAGTTTATCAGGATACCAATTTTTGCTTAGAGAAGCAAAAACGAACATTCTGTTAAACCGGGCTGTAAAAATAGTTTGTGAATTGTGAGTTTGGACATGATGCAATGGCAATATAAAGTTTTAGGGAGCACACTCCCGGGTCCCCGCGGCCACCCGTGCAAGGATTTTGCAGCAGCATTTTTCCGCAATAAACGCTACATGATACGGTAACAAAAATCCTTTATTTTGAGCATTTGAGATGAAAGTTATGTGGGATTCTGTCTTCGCAATCAAATTTAGGGTTCTGACAGTTCGATATGCTGGTTTCTTACGGTATTAAGGCTCTTGATTGACTTGAAAAATTGGTTTACTGAATCATTTATGTGCTGGTTGGCATTCTCTTTCAATGGGGAGTTGTTTCATTGATTTTGAGGTGTGGGGTTTTGTTTGAAGGGTTGTTTAAGGTTATACTTTTTGGGTTTTTCTATAGGTTAGGATCATAAATGCTTTGTACTTTAGGGTGTGTTTGGAATCCAGTAAAATGACTTCATAGAGAAGATTCTAATTTCATAAAAAAAAAATAATTCTTTTTAGTGTTCTGTTGAAATTATGTTTACTATTAAACATTGTTAGCATTCATATTTTGCACATTGGGTAAAGCTTATGTAATTAGACTATTGACATTATGTATTAAAAACTAGCTTTCTACATGTTCGGTTAAGTTAATGGATTGTGGGTTGTACCATATGTTTTTGATCTTTTTCTAAATTTCTCTATTTCTGTATTTCCTGTATGGTTGACTAGCATTTGTTGATCAAAGAATAATGTACTGCTTGTTTGGATGGTCGTTTTTACAGTTCTACTGAAGTTTCCATTTGCTGTAAGTTTGTTTCTAGTTGGTCATTCTTGATGCTTGTATTTCTAGTATTCAATTTGAAGTCTACAGATGATAACCATTTTATCTTCTTCTTCTTCTTCTTCTTTTATTTTTATTTTTTATTTTAATTGCAGTGATCAAACCTATTTCTTTATGGAATTTTTGAGTTCTAACTCTGGAAAAGAAGAAGAGTATCAGCCCAGAGATCTCTTATCTTGTGTCAGAACACAGAAAGTATACAGACAAGATGGTAGGCGTCAAAGCTGCTATAATGGAGATTCTAATAAAGGAAGTTTTGAAAAATCACTTCAGAATGAAAAGAAGGCTGATATACAGAACAATAAAATCCTAGATAGGATCACTGTATCACTCCATAAATCCTTATCCTTCATAGACCTTCTATCTTTATTAAGGTTGATCCAGGACTAGTATTCAATTGAAACTATTAAAAGTGGCTCTCGACTTATGTTGGTTACTGAGGATTTTCATATATAAGCAAGTATGCATGGGGTAAGAACGTCACAGAATTTTTTTCATTGACAATGCACTAGTGCTATACTGCTATGTAGTTGGCCATAGGTAAGAAGAAATAGCCCTCAGGCATATTGCAAGTTTGCAATTGTTTTCTTGAATCTGAAATCAGTAAGTGCCATTGTTATTTGGTGAGAAGGACCCAAAATATTTACCTAAGTTTGATGAATCCACAGTTTTCATTTTCATATGATAAATTGTGGATTGCTTTCTCCTTACAATCAGTGTTTGTAAGGAGAAAGCTAGTGTAAAGCTGAAATTTGGAAAATTGTGGGAGTCTCAAACCACTATGAATTGGGAGTTGCTGAGGAGTTTACATTTGAGCAGTTTTTTGTTTGACTATGATGTTGATGGATACTGTGGTTGTCAAATTCTTGAACGTATGGAACTGAATAGATGCTATTATTTTGATCAATTCCATATTACTTCTCCTAAAAGTAGGAAATTGAAATATAGTGATGGTTCATACAAATGGATTACAGATGCAATACCCCTGATGGAAATGCATTCTACAACATATCTTCAAGAATTGGAGGTTTTGGGGTATGGTCTTGCTTCTCTGCTGCCAATTCTTCTTGTTTAATCTATAGTCAGCTAGCTTTCTCCTTTCAATCAGTGTTTTGGGGTATTGAGAAGGTTACAGATGTCTCAGGAAATGCCTCAAAAAGGGTTTTTCAAAGAAGAAGCAATTGCAGTGTGATCTTTGAACTTGTAAAATATCTGCTTGAGAATGCGAGGGTTATGGGGTAACTGATTATGACATCAGACATTAGGGAGTGAAACATTATTCTGCTAACTTGTTTCAGTTCCTTCGGATGATCGCTGAGATTGGATTGCATTCCTTCGTAATTAAGTTAATGTTCTATGGTAATACAACTTATCTGATGTATATACCCCTCCAGTCCTTCAGAGCCAGGAATATGGAACTACGGAATCTTTTTAAATTAAACATTTTTTTTTTTTTTGTAACGGAAACAGTAAAATTTTGGTGTGTATTGTCAACGTGTAGTCTCTTTGTGGCGCGTGGCATTACCTTATTTGTTACGGAGTATTTTGACAAGTGGATTTATCACGCATAACATGCTTAGCAAATGTGAACGGATGAAATAAACCCATAGTCCGTTCACATTTGCAAAGCTTGTTATGTTTGATAAATCCACTTATCAAAATAATAATACGGATTACGGAGAGGAATTCTCGGGCTCTTCTTCTTCTCTGTTTACACCGACGAAATCGTTTCCCTTTCCTTCTGTACTTTGCATACATTCTCAGTTTCAAGCGTAAATATATACATCTGTCCACATGTGCGTCTTGCGAGTTGCGATAAGTAAGAGCTAAAAGAGGAATTAACTCAGTTTGGTAAGGCAAATTAACACATTCTGTTTTGATGCTGTTAACCATTGACTGTTTGAGATCATTAAATTTGAGATTTTTGTTTGAAGTTTGGAATTTAATTTTCGTAATTGCTTGATTTTGACTTTAGGAATTCATTTCTGTGATTTGTGGGCTTGATCTATTTTTGGTGGATTTTAAAAATTTGAGTACTGGGTGCTATCTATTTTACTATGCGTGTTCTAACATCATCGAGAGTACAATCTTTAGGAAAGTCTTGATCTTCATTTTGTAAATTAGGAAAGTCTTGATCTTGTTGCTAAAACTCTGAAATGAGTGTGCTGTGTACTAACTTGATGTTGACTTGATATACATTTTGCTACCTTTGTTGATATCTCTGTTTCTTTTAGTCAATCACATCTTGCTTCTCTTGGTCATATAGCATACCGATCTACTGAATTTTGCTTTTGCTTTACTTTCTTGTTTAGGATTGTGCTCCATGATTCAATTCATTATATCTGTACTTTATGTTTCTTCTTTTGATGTCAAATTTACATTTTCTATTCATAAATCATTTCTCCCTGTCATAACTTTGTGCTTAAATTTCTTAGGCATATTTGGTGTTCATTTTTGGTTTATCTTGGTGGATGGAATTTGCAAAGGAAAGGAAGGATAAGGGTTTTCTATATTGTGCATGCCTATAATAGTGGAAGCTTTTTATTATTCATCATCTGAGAGGTGTATAAAGATAGTTTCAAACTGCCTTAGGGGTTACAGAAACTGAGCTGTTCTTTTCTTGCTTGTTTACAAAATGAAGTAGAAAATTATGGGATGTTTTACTGGTAGATATTGAAGCATAAGGGTGAAAAGTTGATTCAAGGTATTGCTGAACAACCACTTCACATAAGGAAGGGCAATGTCAGAAAGTGAGAAAGATCGTGACCACATAAGTGGATTACCAGATGAACTTATTGTTCAGATACTCAGTCTTGTGCCCATCGAAGATGCTGTGAGAACAAGTGTTCTTTCAAGACGGTGGCAATATCTCTGGACTTCCCTCCATAATTTGGTTTTCTTGTTTAGTGATGAAAAATGGGACGGGAGGTTACAGCAATATGTTTGCTTCATTGATAACACACTGAGGAGAAATACTTGTTCCAAGATTAGTAAATTTTGGCTCCAGGGCAATTATTGTCATTTTCTTGGAATGAGAATATATGAGTGGCTCAGAGGTGCTGTGGAGAAGGAAGTGGAAGATCTCTACCTAAATCTGAGAATGCCAATGAGGTTGAATATATTCTGCTTGCCTCAATTTCTATGCACATGTCCTTCACTTGTTATATTGAAGCTGTTGAATTGTCGATTTGAGGCAAATTGCATTGTAAATTGGAAATCGCTAAAGAGTATATACATGGAAAATGTTGATTTTGATGATGAGTTAATGCAGAGAATAATATTAGGCTGTCCACTGGTTGAAACTATGGAGCTGCATGAATTTTGTAGTTTGAGTTGCCTCTGTATATCTTCTACCAAATTAAGGAAACTGAAACTGAGGAAAGCATACAATTGGCCTGGAGGTCAACTTAAGCCCATGGAAATATATGCCCCATACCTTGAGGAACTGGAAATTTCAGGACAAGGAGTGTATTATCGGTTAACCAATGTTTCTTCCTTGAGAAACACTAAACTTGCCTTTTACATTGACCGTGGAATGTGGAATTACAGTGAGCGCAAATGTCATTTTATGGTTAAAGAGCTCTTAACAAGTGTGCATCATGTGAACAGAGTGACACTCGGAGAATGGATGATTCGGGTTAGTTTCTTTCCTTTTTTTTTTTTTTGGGTTGTATCGTGTTTGTTTATTCATAATTTAATGAAATATCCATATAGCCTGCTTTGTTTGAATTGTGAAATTAAGGAACTTGAGTGAAACAGATGATTCTAAAGGCAATCAATGCTGCCATTAAATTATCATGGATTTTTTTTCAATATAAATTATTGAGTAGCTTTTAACATTTGTTATCAAATTTATGCAAATTTTAAATAAGTAAATAAATAAATAAAAATGAAAGCCTATTGCTGCTACAAAATATAGTTGTAAAAGTTCATAATTGAGTGAATAGATAGGCTGTTGCTGCTAGAAAGGATCTCCCTTGTAGCCATCTGGTATTCAAGTATAGCAATTTTATTGCATTACCCACCCCCTCCTTGATGACTTGGAATTATTGAAATAACTATTTGCATCCATTCTTTGCTAAAGATGCATTGCACACTACCAAAAAGTGAAAATCACTTGAAATTTGATGATGTCACCACTGTGAGGCTTTTATTCAGGTTCTGTCAATGCTTGAGCGGCAAAGCCAGTATACTCCTCGGTTACAATGCAAGCATCTAATACTGGAGTCTTGTGTTACAAAATATGATCTCCCTGGCATAGCAAGCATTTTAGAGAGCTCGACCAAACTGGAGACCTTTGTCATACGCATGGAACCTCTCGAGGTGTGTTTTTCTAAGAAATATTTTTTCTTTACTGTTTGATTTTCATCATCATTTTAAAGTATTTTCAGGAAAGGTTTTGGAGAAAAAATATTTGCCATTCTTATCATATGTAGTTATTTTTAACTTCCCTGTTGATTATGTTTTTTAATTGACTTGGTTCATCAAAATTATAACTCGACTGTCTCCTTCATTCATCAAGAACATCACAACTTAAATCTATTCCAATTCTAGGTTTATTCTGAGAATTTTGATCCAAGATCATTCAGGAGAACAGACGATTTCAGTGGAGACTTCAACCTGTGTTTTGAAAACAGGAATATCACATGTCTGTCCCAGAACCTCAAACTCGTGAAGGTTGTAGACTTCTCGAAGCCATGTCTCCATGTAAAATTATTGGGAAAGAACTATGAGTATGCTCTCGTTGAATACCTACTTAAGAATGCAAGGGTGCTCGGAACTGTTATAATCACATTTGGACAAAAGGAATGCAACATCTGTTGCACTAACTGCATTTCACAGTTTTTGCCCCTCTTGGCTGGAAGGTTGGTAGATGCTCCTAAAGCTTCTCCTGCTGCAACTGTCATGCTTTACCCTCCACCTGTGTAGGTAAATTTGGAAATAGCAGTTGTTTCCAAAAGCATTCTTTCCCTAGATTTGTGCTAGTGTGCTGTCATTTATTTTGAACTTCTTCATGACCTGTGTTCTGTATAACTTAATGCTCTGAATTTCCCTTCCTTGGGTACTGAATTGGCTGTGTTTTTTTACTTGAATTTCAACTAGCAGTGTTACTAAAAGCTGCTTTAAACTGAGTTGCACTGTGCTAAAATCTATGTTGCTTTGTACTCCGTTACTTTTTCTTTGTGCACATATGAAGGGAATTAGAATTTTGAGTTTAGTTTCGAGTCTTAAGAGCATCCACAGTGGTGAAGGATATTTCCTTTCCACATCATCACTTAATATCCATTTATCAATACACTATCACCACTAATTATTTATATTATTGATTTTTAACTTTTTCTTTGGCACCTCTGAAGGGAATGGGAGTTTTGTGTTTAGTTTCTCTTGATTTACTCTTAAGAACATTTTCAATGATGAAGTGATATTTTCTCTCTATATTTACAAAAAAGAAAGAAAGAAAAAAAATATGAAGAGTAAAGTTGTGTCCAGTAAGCACGTGCATAGCACGCACCCAGCCATCTAGTCACTAGGTGTAGAATACACGGCCTCTAGCTTGTTATTGTGTGAATTTGTTATTATTATAATATTATTATTATTTTTTGTGTGTGTGGATACATTAGGTTTCCCAGCCAAAAGAAAGATTAAAGTTTTGCATAATTAGCACATGTATAGCACTCACCCTGCCTACTAGCCACTAGGTGCAAAGTACATGGCCTCTACTCTCTAGCTTTCTATTTGTGTGAATTTGTTCATATTTCTTGTCAATAAAAGATTGAAACCTTCACATGTTGTAGTGAGCTAATAACTATTCTTTTTTTTTTTCTTTTTCTTTTTTATGGGAAAATGGAATTACAAAATCTTTCTAAAGTAAACATTTATTGCCTTTTAATACATGTTTGGTAATTGAACCAGTAAGATCTTAGGATGTATGTTATAATGTGTAGTATATTTTATGACGCATGACATTACTTTAGGAGTTTAGGTAAATAGATTCGTAAAATATGATATGCTTTGCAAATATGAATGGAGAGGATTTTACTAGCTCATCTTCTTTTTTGTTTACCCTTATAAATCATTTTTCCTTTCTTTCACATTACCACCAATAATTATTTATACTATATATTATATATTAAAAAAAATTAAATAGAGTAAAGTTGTGTCTAGTGGAACATGTACAACATGCACGCACGCAGCCCGCTACGTGCACCGAGTGCATTCCCTTAGCTTTCTCTTCGTGTGAAGTTTATTTCATATTTCTTGTTAACAAAGAATTGAAAAGTAAGGTTGAAATTAAATTCGAAACCTCCACATACTATAGTGAGCTAATAACTATTAGCATAACAATTCTTTTTTTATGGGATAGCTAATATAAGTATATAACTATTCTTTTTTAAAGTAAACATGATCTCCCTGCATAGCTAGCATTTTAGAGAGCTCGAACAAACTGGAGACCTTTGTCATACACTCATACACATGGAGCCTCTCGAGGTGTGCTTTTCAAGAAATATTTTTTCTTTACTTTACTGTTTGATTTTCATCATCATTTTACAGTATTTTCGGGAAAGGTTTTGGAGAAAAAATGTTTGCCATTCTTATCATATGTAGTTATTTTTAACTACCCGGTTGATTATGTTTTTTAATTGACTTGGTTCATCACAACTATAATTCAACTGTCTCGTTCATTCATCAAGAACATCACAACTTAAATCTATTCCAATTTCAGGTTTATTCTGAGGATTTTGATCAAAGATCATTCAGGAGAACACATGGTTTCAGTGGAGACTCAATCTGTGTTTCGAAAACAGGAATATCACATGTCTGTCCCAGAACCTCAAACTTGTGAAGGTTGTAGACTTCTCGAAGACATGTCTCCGTGCAGAATTACTGGGAAAGAACTATGAGTATGCTCTCGTTGAATACCTTCTTAAGAATGCAAGGGTGCTCGAAACTGTTATAATCACATTTGGACAAAAGGAGTGCAACATCTGTTGGGCTAACTGCATGTCACAGTTTTGCCCCTCTTGGCTGGAATGTAGGTAGATGCTCCTAAAGCTTCTCCTGCTGCAACTATCATGCTTTCCCCTCTACCTGTGTAGGTAAATTTGGAAATAGCAGTTGTTTCCAAAATCAGTCTTTCCCTAGATTTGTGTTACTGTACTGTGTTCTGAACTTCTTTTATTTCCAAAAAAAAAAATTAAAAAGAGTGAAGTTGTGCCTAGTGAGAACATGTACAACACGCACGCTCGCAGCCCGCTAGGTGCACAAAGTAAAATATTATCTCCCTGGCAAACTGGAGACTTTGTCATATATATGGAACCTCTCGAGGTGTGTTTTTCAAGAAATCTGTTTTCTATACTGTTTGATTTTATCATTTTAAATTATTTTCGCGAAATTTTTTGGAGAAACAGTCGAACTTTGGCTTGTATTGTCAACGTGTAGTCTGCTTTGTGGCACGTGGCATTACCTTATTTATTATTTTGACAAGTGGATTTATCACGCATAACATGCTTTGCAAATGTGAACGGACGAAATAAATCCATAGTCTGTTCACATTTGCAAAGCATGTTATGCATGATAAATCCACTTGTCAAAAGGAGAGGAATTCTCGGGCTCTTCTTCTTCTCTGTTTACACCGACGAAATCGTTTCCTTTTCCTTCTGTACTTTGCATACATTCTCAGTTTCAAGCGTAAATATATACATCTGTCCACATGTGCGTCTTGCGATAAGTAAGAGCTAAAAGAGGAATTAACTCAGTTTGGTAAGGCAAATTAACACATTCTGTTTTGATGCTGTTAACCATTGACTGTTTGAGATCGTTAAATTTGAGATTTTTGTTTGAAGTTTGGAATTTAATTTTCGTAATTGCTTGATTTTGACTTTAGGAATTCATTTCTGTGATTTGTGGGCTTGATATATTTTTGGTAGATTTTAAAAATTTGAGTACTGGGTGCTTCCCTAGATTTGTGTTACTGTACTGTGTTCTGAACTTCTTTTATTTCCAAAATCAGTCTTTCCCTAGATTTGTGTTACTGTACTGTGTTCTGAACTTCTTTTATTTCCAAAAAAAATAAATAAAAATTTAAAAGAGTGAAGTTGTGCCTAGTGAGAACATGTACAACACGCACGCTCGCAGCCCGCTAGGTGCACAAAGTAAAATATGATCTCCCTGGCATAGCTAGCATTTTAGAGAGCTCGACCAAACTGGAGACCTTTGTCATATACATGGACGAAATAAATCCATAGTCCGTTCACATTTGCAAAGCATGTTATGCATGATAAATCCACTTGTCAAAAGGAGAGGAATTCTCGGGCTCATCGTCTTCTCTGTTTACACCAACAAAATCTTTTCTCTTACCTTCTGTACTTTGCAGTTTATATACATTCTCAGTTCGAAGAGTAAATATATATATATGCCCACATGTGCGTCTTGCGATAAGAAAGAGCTCAAAGAGAAATTAACTCAGTTTTGGTAAGGCAATTAACACATTCTGTTTTGATGCTGTTAACCATTGACTGTTTGAGATCATTAAATTTGAGATTTTTGTTTGAAGTTTGGAATTTAATTTTCGTAATTGCTTGATTTTGTCTTTAGGAATTCTTTTCTGTGATTTGTGGGTGCATGACTATAATAGTGGAAGCTTTTTATTATTCATCATCTCAGAGGTGTATAAAGGTAGTTTCAAACTGCCTTAGGGGTTTCAGAAACTGAGCTGTTCTTTTCTTGCTTGTTTACAAAATGAAGTAGAAAATTATGGGATTTTTTACTTGTAGATATTGAAGCAGTGGGGTGAAAAGTTGATTCAAGGTATTGCTGAACAACCCCCTCACATAAGGAAGGGCAATGTCAGAAAGTGAGAAAGATCGTGAGCACATAAGTGGATTACCAGATGCACTTATTGTTCAGATACTCAGTCTTGTGCCCATCGAAGATGCTGTGAGAACAAGTTTTCTTTCAAGACGGTGGCAATATAGTGAGAACATGCTGCATGTCACAGTTTTTGCCCCTCTTGGCTGGAAGGTTGGCAAGACGGTGAAGTTTATTTCATATTTCTTGTTAACAAAGAATTGAAAAGTAAGGTTGAAATTAAATTCGAAACCTCCACATACTATAGTGAGCTAATAACTATTAGCGTAACAATTCTTTTTTTATGGGATAGCTAATATAAGTATATAACTATTCTTTTTTAAAGTAAACATGATCTCCCTGCATAGCTAGCATTTTAGAGAGCTCGAACAAACTGGAGACCTTTGTCATACACTCATACACATGGAGCCTCTCGAGGTGTGCTTTTCAAGAAATATTTTTTCTTTACTTTACGGTTTGATTTTCATCATCATTTTAAAGTATTTTCGGGAAAGGTTTTGGAGAAAAAATGTTTGCCATTCTTATCATATGTAGTTATTTTTAACTTCCCGGTTGATTATGTTTTTTAATTGACTTGGTTCATCACAACTATAATTCAACTGTCTCGTTCATTCATCAAGAACATCACAACTTAAATCTATTCCAATTTCAGGTTTATTCTGAGGATTTTGATCCAAGATCATTCAGGAGAACACACGATTTCAGTGGAGACTTCAACCTGTGTTTCGAAAACAGGAATATCACATGTCTGTCCCAAAACCTCAAACTTGTGAAGGTTGTAGACTTCTCGAAGACGTGTCTCCGTGCAGAATTACTGGGAAAGAACTATGAGTATGCTCTCGTTGAATACCTACTTAAGAATGCAAGGGTGCTCGAAACTGTTATAATCACATTTGGACAAAAGGAGTGCAACATCTGTTGGGCTAACTGCATGTCACAGTTTTTGCCCCTCTTGGCTGGAAGGTTGGTAGATGCTCCTAAAGCTTCTCCTGCTGCATCTATCATGCTTTCCCCTCTACCTGTGTAGGTAAATTTGGAAATAGCTGTTGTTTCCAAAGTCAGTCTTTCCCTAGATTTGTGTTCTGAACTTCTTTTATTTCCAAAAAAAAAATAAATTAAAAAGAGTGAAGTTGTGCCTAGTGAGAACATGTACAACACGCACGCTCGCAGCCCGCTATGTGCACAAAGTAAAATATGATCTCCCTGGCAAACTGGAGACCTTTGTCATATACATGGAACCTCTCGAGGTGTGTTTTTCAAGAAATGTGTTTTCTATACTGTTTGGTTTTATCATTTTTAAGTATTTTCGGGAAAATTTTTGGAGAAACAGTCGAACTTTGGCATGTATTGTCAACGTGTAGTCTGCTTTGTGGCACATGGCATTACCTTATTTATTATTTTGACAAGTGGATTTATTATCACGCATAACATGCTTTGCAAATGTGAACAGACTATAAATACGTAGTCCGTTCACATTTGCAAAGTATGTTATGCATGATAAATCCACTTGTCAAAAGGAGAGGAATTCTAGGGCTCATCTTCTCTGTTTACACTGACGAAATCTTTTCCCTTTCCTTCTGTACTTTGCATACATTCTCAGTTTGAAGCGTGAATATATACATCTGTCCACATGTGCGTCTTGCGATATGTAAGAGCTAAAAGAGGAATTAACTCAGTTTTGGTAAGGCAAATTAACACATTCTGTTTTGATGCTGTTAACCATTGATTGTTTGAGATCATTAAATTTGAGATTTTTGTTTGAGGTTTGGAATTTAATTTTCGTAATTGCTTGATTTTGTCTTTAGGAATTCTTTCTGTGATTTGTGGGTGCATGACTATAATAGTGGGAGCTTTGTATTATTCATCATCTCAGAGGTGTATAAAGATAGTTTCAAACTGCCTTAGGGGTTTCAGAAACTGAGCTGTTCTTTTCTTGCTTGTTTACAAAATGAAGTAGAAAATAATGGGATGTTTTACTTGTAGATATTGAAACAGTGGGGTGAAAAGTTGATTCAAGGTATTGCTGAACAACCACCTCACATAAGGAAGGGCAATGTCGGAAAGTGAGAAAGATCGTGACCACATAAATGGATTACCAGATGAACTTATTGTTCGGATACTCAGTCTCGTGACCACATAAGTGGATTACCAGATGAACTTATTGTTCGGATACCCCATCGGAGATGTTGTGAGAACAAGTGTTCTTTCAATACGGTGGCAATAATATCTCTGGACTTCTCTCCATAATTTGGTTTTCTTGTTTAGTGATGAAAAATGGAGAAGGAAGTGGAAGATCTCTACCTAAATCTAAGAATGCCAATGAGGTTGGTTATATTCTGCTAGCTTGCCTCAATTTCTATGCACATGAATGTCCTTCAATTCACTTGTTATATTGAAGCTGTTGAATTGTCGATTTGGGGCAAATTGCAGTGTAAATTGGAAATCGGTAAAGAGTTTATACATGGAAATTGTGGATTTTGATGATGATAGATGCAATGCAGAGAATACTATGAAGCTGCATGAATTTGGTAGTTTGAGTTGCCTCTGTATGTATATCTTCTACCAAATTAAGGAAACTGAAACTGAGGGAAGCATACAATTGGCCTGGAAATTTATGTCTCATACCTTGAGGAACTGGAAATTTTAGGACGTGGAGTGTATTATAGGTTAACCAATGATGAAGATATGTTTTCTCTCCACATGTCACTTAATATTCATATATCATCAATAATGATATCTATATTAAACTAAATATTTTACAAAAAAAAAAAAAAAAAAGTAAAATTGCGCTGTGAGCACGTGCATTGCACGCACCCTGCCCACTAGCTCATCTTCATTTTTCGTTTACTTCTATGATAAAATCTTTTTTCTTTTTCTTTCCCATTACCGCCAATAATTATTTATATTACATATTAGAAATAATGTTTTTTTTTTCTTAAAGAAGTGAAGTTGTGGTTAGTGGGCGCGTGCACCGCACGCACGCTGCCCACTAGGTGCAACATGCAATGCATTGACTGTATTAGCTTTAGTTTTTTTTTTTTTTTTTTTTTTTTTTTTTTAAGTTTAGATTTCTTGTCAATAAAAGATTGAAAAGTCAATCAGATTGATCCTCATGTATGACTTTTGGGGTTTTGCTTCCCATCATTCTATTCGTTGCCAATAAAAGTTTCGTTTTTTTATTAAAAAATATAGCGAACTAATGACTATTATTTTTTATAGGGAAAATGAAACTATAAAATTTCATTAAAGTAAATATTTATTGACTTTTAATACATATTTGGTAATTAAATCAGTAAAATCTTAACATGTATTGTCATGACGTGTAATTCATACTTTTAGATATTGTTTGACTATAATGAACAAGTTTTCTTTTCTCTTGAATTGATTTTTTTTTAATTATTTCTAGAAAGGTAAATTATTATTATTATTATTATAGCAAAATAATAGGGCGCCAAAAAAGATGCTGAATATTCCAAGCAATTAAATGAGTGCACATGCATTACGTGCACGCAGCCCACTAGGTACAATGCGCAATGCACGGAGTGCGCTTGCTTAGCCCCTCTCTCTCTCTCTCTCTCTTTCTTTGCAAGGAGAATAAAATCATTCACTTCAATTTGACTTCTCTAACAAAAAGATGGGCAGTGAAGTAATTTTATATCATCTATGGAATGGTCAAGTCAGATCAAAGGAAGAAACCTATATTAATTCTGAACACCAATATGGACTATGGAGTCCCTAGCATGATTGAGAGTTTGAGACTTTGCCTGGGCAGACTTATTTGACATATAAGAATTAATCCACTATCCACTATTGCATGCAGATTGGTTTGATAAATATTGTTAGCTGATTGAGTTGGTGAATTTAATTACTTGATAGAAAATTAACTGATTATAGAAGATGTTTGGTATATTAGTGGTTAGTTGATAAGTTTTTTTTTTTTTGAAAATATGATTAGTTGATAGTTGATTACATGTAAAATAATTTCTCAAAAAGCTTATCAAAAAAGCTGTTTTGAACAGCTTTTTTAATTTTAGCATTTTGGAGGAGTAAATTGTTACAAAAACCTAATTAATCAAACACTAATATTAGCTGTTTAACTAAGCCAAACTGCTAATTAATAATGGTCAAACAAGTCAAAATTTACTCATAAGTTAACTATGTTACCAAACATGACCAATAACATTTTTAGCCACGTACATGAGTATCTACTTGACTGGGGCGATTAGTACATAAGTACAAACATACAGGTTTTTAGGATACTAATTTTTACTTTTAGTACTGAATTGGCTATAGTAACATTTGAACATTTAATTCATTAAATATTAATACCGTAAAACATAACTCAAAGACTTAACTCTTCGATGTTAAAACTTGCTAGGTTTATGTGGTCAAACATTACCCACCAATTTGGTCCGTAATAGAAAAGTTACATAAGTTTTTTCCATTATTGAATAACATCGGTCCATTACATATTACAATAATCAAAGTTTTAATAGGAACTATATAAAGTCAACTAATAAAACACTGGGATTTGGTCTAATAGTGTTGAACGGTGGCGTTAAATTGAATAACAGCCAGGTGATTCTCGAAGTTGAAGTGGACCGTCTCGAAGGTGGCGTATCCTCGGGCGAACCGGAATATCCCGGTGCCGCCGACGACCGACACCTCCCTCACCTTCTCCAGCTGAGGACTAGCGCCTTGTATTTGCAAAGTGCTGCCGGAGTACTCGCCGCCGGTAAACACAACTGATATTACCACGTGCGCTATTTTGCCGTCCAGCGCTGACGTTACGTACAGGCCTTGGCCCCTGGCCACCTCGGCGGAGCCGCTGTCAAATTCCTCCGTTATCGGATCGTCCGTGACGAAGAGGGACCCGAACTCGAAGAATTTGAGGGCCCCGTCGTCGGAGACGCCGCCGCGGTTGACCTGCATGACGGTGGCGTTAGGGCCGCCGGAATAGTCTTGGAAATAGAGAGAAATGGTTGTTTCTTTGAGCTGGTCATGGGCGGCTGATGACGAGCACGTGACAGTGGCTAGAATGAATATTACTGTGAGCTTAAATGAATATGATGCCATGGAGAGATGGATATAGTGACTCAATATGCCACAAGAGATCGAAGAGGCTGAAGAGTAATGACTTTTCTTCATTTCGTGGAAACATATATATATAGAGGGTAATAGAGCTACAAATTTTTAAAAAATTTATTTTAACCATTTAATACATTATATTCGTATATCATTTACGCAACTTATATATATATAATATTAAGGCAAATTAAGAAGAAGAAAAAATCAGATCTGGCAAATTAAAATTCTATTTTTTGGACGGGCATTATAAAATTTATCATATATTAACATTTTTTTCTGTTATAGTTGTGTTATGAATTTGACTCTTTCATGTTATTTGTTATGAAAGTCAAAATATTTGGAAATGGACGTTTTATCCTAATTTTTGGATTATTTTTTATGAAAATCAAAATATTTTGAAATGGACGTTCTATTCTAATTTTTGGAAGAACAGGGTTGGGACAAAAATTTTGAAGTAAAATAAGATAAGAGTGCCAAACACTCCATATATAATTAATAGTCTTTTATTCATAATAACTAGATAAGACACATGGAAAAATATTTTATATATATACTCATTTTTTGTTTTTTTTTTTTTTTCTTAACTTAATTCCCCAAGATATGCTCATTTTTGAATTTTTGATAACATATAATTAAACCATTAAATTGAACGGAAAACAAAATTAAATAGACATTTTAATTCGGGTGAATCAACGATTTGTTTGGTCCCTCAGTTATTTGCGACTTGTCAATGTAGCCCATCAATTGCGTATTCATCGATTTGGTCCCCGAAAATAATTATTTTTCGTCAATTTAGTCCCTATGGCCGTATTCCGTCAAGACTTGGGCGAGAGCTCCGATTTGCCCTGGGTATTTTGGTCTTTTCATGTATTTAGTCTCTTAGTCTCTTAGCCTCTTCTTACCAGCATCAGGAACCACCGCCAACGCTCCGACTGCCGATGATTATGGTGCGCCTCAATCCATCGCCAACAAGCACGATGTTCTTCGTCTTCCTCCCAATCTCAAACCTTTTCCCAAAAAACGCCGCGCTTTATATGGATGACAAACCGTCCACTGCCACGCTGCTGTCTCATAGCAGCAGTAACAAGAACGGCCTTGACGGTCTTGAAGTCGCCGGAGCCGTCCCGAGCTACCACTAGGTTTGTCCTGACGGTGGAGCCATCCTGGAGCAATTTCCGGTCACTGGGCGAAACCCACGTCGGAAAACCATCCTCGTAGGTAGTTTCCCTGGGAGCAGAGGCGTTGTTAATGAGAGCCAAAGTGTTAGAAATCAAGTGCGTGTCATTATCGTCGGAAATGGCAGGGAAAACAGCACCATCTATTCATCTAACACGCCTAGCTCCGCGAACCCGGTTTGACAAGTCTTGAGGTTTGTCACGGCGGCGCTCAGGCAAGGTGGTCTCGAGGTGGAGTTCCGACAACTGTAAACGCAGTGGCTCCGGGAATGTCGTGAACTCTTTTTGCCCGAATTGCGTGGCGCTAGGTTATGTTGTGACTAACCGCCGATTTCTCGGAATGGGGAGCGCAAACGAGGACGTTGAAGTGATTAGTGAAGACGAGGACGCTAACTAGAGCTCTCAACCCAGGAGCATCCACTCCGTTGTCGTTGGTCACCATCACAGTCGGCAGATTTTGGGAGTAGTAAACGCCATTGTTCTCCATGGCAGCTGGGAAAACAATATGATCTTCAAAGTATTGTGGAATTCAGAGTGTAATATCAGTTCTTGGGTGGTTATGTCCTTCATAGGCGGCCACGTTTTTGGTTCATCAAGCGACGGCGCCGAATTGGTGGGCACGGTGGGTTGTGGTCGACGAAGTTGTGCGATCGTCGGAGTTGAACGCTCGCGCGGAGGATATACGGCAGTGAGCTCATTTCGACGAGCAGAGAAGAGATGGAGCTCCCTCTAGCAAGCTTGAGCTTCTCCGGCGAAGCTTGGTCAGAGTTAATGAAGAAGAAGACGTGAAAAAACCAAAATGCCCAAGGCAAATCGGAGCTCTCGCCTGAGTCTTGACGAAATACGGCCATATGAACTAAATTGACGAAAAAAAATTATTCTCGGGGACCAAATCGATAAATACGCGATTAAAGGGCTACATTGACAAATCACAAATAACTGAGGGACCAAATCGTTGATTCACCCATTTAATTCAAAAGAAAATTGCAACGAGCTCAAACCTTTAGTAAACGCAATCAAAGCTAATTTGTATGCTTATTTTCAAACTAAGAGACCCAGACCCTGCAAACCCGTAGCCGTACTTTGTGGAGTAGTTATGCTGTGCATCCGTATGCACCATGCATGGTGCATACGGATGCAAAAACGACGTCGTTTTATTAAAAATGCGCGTCTCTCCTTAAAAAAATTCAGGTTTGATTCCCAGCAACAGCATTATATTGTTCATTCATTCTGGAATTTTAGTTAATAGATTATGGAATTTTAGTTCATCGATTCTGGAATTATAGTTCATCGATTCTGGAATTGTAGTTCATCGATTCTGAAATTTTAGTTCATAGATTCTGGAATTTTAGTTCATTCATTCTGGAATTTTTAGTTCATAGATTAGATTATGGAATTATAGTTCATCGATTCTGAAATTTTAGTTCATATGTTGTTGCTGGGAATCGAACCTGAATTATTTTTTAAAGGAGAGACGCGCGTTTTTAATAAAACGACGTTGTTTTTGCATCCGTGTGCACCATGCATGGTGCATACAGATGCACAACATAATTTGCCTACTTTGTGGACTTGAACTCCCGTCAATTAATAACCAACAAATTTAACAGACTTTTGACAGGGTTCTATTTAAATATCTGAAAAACATTTTTCAAAACTAATTTTTAAAAACCGAGTCAAATTTTGAAAAATATTTTAATTTTTTAATGTTTAGTTAAAGGTTAGAAAACTATGTTTGCGATTTGGCTAAAGAGTTGAAAAAATTGCTTTTTTTTGTTCATTTTCTTGAATGTTAACACATTATTTGTCAAATAATAATAATAATAATAATTAGTGGTGATAGTGTATATAATAATAATAATAATAATAATAATAATAATAATAATAATAATTAGTGGTGATAGTGTATATAATAATAATAATAATAATAATAAGTGGTGATAGTGGTGTCAGTGTGGAGCTAGCTGGTGGTGGTGGCTACTACTACTAATAATAATTGGTGGTGATAGTAGTGTCGGAGTGGAGGACTGGAGGTGGTGGTGGTGGCAACAGTAGTAGTGAATAGTAGGGGTGGAAATAGGTCAGACCCCTTCGTAGGGGCTTAAGGCCCGACCTATTTAAGATCTACATAGGCCTGACTTGTTTAGTAAAAAGGTCAGACTTGGACCCATTTTGAAGCCTATTAAACTAAACAGGCCAAGCCTATTTATACCAAGCTCGGCCTTCAGGCCTACATGCCTAGCCTATGTACACACATATATATAATTTATTTGTGATATTAAGTTCCAAGTATATATAATTATCAAACCCTAACCGTCCACCTCCAAAATCGCATTCTAAATTCTGATTCAAATATAAACATTGTTGTAAATCTTATTATAAGTGTTCTTATTGTTTAATTGTTCTTACTATTAAATATTTAATTAAGTGTCACGGTTTAATTATGTAAGTTGATTGTTAACTATTTATGAGATTATATAGGATCACAATCAATAATACAATTGAATTCATTCCTAAACAAGTTAACAAGCATGTTGAAGTTGTGATTTGTTTTATTTTATTTTATATATGTTTTAATACTATTATGTGTTTGGTTGGTGGGTTTTGCCCATAGGAATGGGTATGAAAGTGATTGTTGTTGTTTGGTTGATAGGTTTTTAGAACACCACTATGGGTTTCGAATACCCCATCAATTGAAAAACCCATACCCAAATAGAATAAGGGTTTCATTCCCTTATTCATTTTCAAGCACTACTATTAGTAACCATTCTCATTCCACCATACTACCAAACATGTTAAATACTTTCACCAAAACCCATTACCATTACCAAGTATTTGATACCCATCCGATTCCGATTCCGATTCCGATTCCTATGTGCGAACCAAACACACCCTATGTTTGTATTGTGGCGATATACTTATGTAGTTATATATTACATTCGTATTAGCTAGGTATTAAAGTTAAAAAAAAAAAAAAAAAAAAAAAAAAAAAAAAAAAAAAAAAACTTAATAAGTAGGTTTTAAATAAGCTCAAAGCAAAACTTACTTTAAAACATTTTTAATGGTCTACATATTAAACAGGCTTTTAAAAAAGTTTCAGGCCAGCCCAGACTAATTGTAGGATCAAGCGAGCCTAACAAAAAGCCTACATACAGGCTCAGGCCCAAACCTTAGATTTTCGTAACTTGAAGAGATACAAGTCATTTTCCAAAACTCCAAAAGGCCCAAATATGTATTTGGATAGAAAAAGAAATGAACAAATTATTGACTGTATGTACAGGAATTGAATGCATAACAAATTTGATAAATAAAATTTTTTTGAGTTAATTATTGAAATGGTCCCTCAGACTATAGCGAAATTACTAATTTAGTTCTTGACTATTTTTTTTGACCAATTAAGTCCCTCAACTTTAAAAATCTTAACCAATTTGGTCCCGTTTGTTTGACCGTTAGTCAACCGTTAACTTGGGACCAAATTGGTAATTTGCTATAGTCAAGGGACTATTTTGGTAATTAACTTTAAGGGTGTGCAATTCGATTCAGTTTTCTCGAATCGAACCGTACCAAACTAGTTAGATTCGGTAATATAACGAACAACCGAACGGTAATAGGTTCTTGTATACCGAATGATTCGATAAAAACTCGAACCAAACTGAACCGAATAACGTTTGAACTTTGAATTGTTATTTTGATATATATTAGACTTTGAATATGAACTATGTAAACACTATAACACATAATATATAACTTTTGATAACAAACCATAAAGAAATCAAATAAAACATTTACGAGAGATACCCGTGAAAATATGAGCTGAATGGCAGAGCAAGCAATATGAGACTTTGATTATTTATTTATTTATTATTATTATTATTATATTTTTTCAAAAAAATCAAACGGTATTCGGTTCAGTTCAATTTTTTACCGAAAAATTCGGATCGATTTTTTATTAAACCGTTCGATATACAAGAATCCAATACCGTTCGGTTGTTCGATATATTACCGAACCAAATTAGTTCAGTTCAATTTGATACGGTTCAGTGAGAAAAAACTAAACTGAATTGCCCACCCCTAAAGATAATTACCAAAATAATCCCTTGACTATAACGAAATTACTAATTTGGTCCCAAGTTAACAGTTGACTAACAGTCAAACAAACAGAGGACCAAATTGGTTAAGATTTTTAAAGTTGAGGGACTTAATTGGTTAAAAAAAAATATTCAAGGACCAAATTAATAATTTCACTATAGTCAAAGGACCATTTCGGTAATTAACTCAAATTTTTTTAAAAAAAGTTATTTAGAGAAGTAACAAGTAAGATTTCATTTGAAAAATAAGAGTAGAGACAACAGGACAATTATATTTGTATCAAGATGAGTTAGGATTACTGATAGAAATGATATGCTTGAGACAGATGGCAAAAAAGATATGATATGCTCCAGATGTAAGGGAAAAACACATTTTACAACATTACATATGCATGCATGCTTCAAGTGACAAAAAGGAATTTCAAGTCTCCCTCCGTTAGCTTTCCAAGTGCGTCTAAGGATCCACCAACCGTCCTGCCAAACCAAAAAAACAACCTTATTATTCATCCCATTCATTCATTTAATAAACAGGCACCACATCTACTGTAAACAAAATTTCAACTCAACTCAACTTACCCTTCAAAAACTAATTCCTTCTTCTCTTGCAGCTTCAAGATTCTCTCTTCAATGGTGTTGTCAATCACAAATCTCACAATCCTAAAAATTACAAAACAAAGATTAAACCTGCCGCTTTTCTTTAAAACAACATAAAAAACACGTAACTACGTACCTTATAGGTTTATATTGTCCTATCCGATGGATTCTATCTTGTGCTTGCCTCTCCACCGCTGGATTCCACCAAGGATCCATCAAGAAAACCTGCCACCACCAAAATTACAAATATGCCCATCAAAGTTCAGATTTAAGTAGCAACTCAACTTTTAAACAACTTATTTGCAAGGATAGATAAAATCATTACATGCGATGCTACTGTCAGATTTAAAGCAACACCTCCAGCTTTCAAACTCATAAGAAATATTCTGCATTCTGGATCGTCGGTGAATTTAGTAATAGCAGATTCTCTAGCGGCCATACTCATTGATCCCATTAACATAACACAATTAACGCCCGACTGGAGAGGAGAAGACGCAAGAAATTAGCTTTACTAACACCAGAGAAGACTTAAGAGTCAAAGATGGAATGGTGCCAGGTACAAATCTAACCTTGATAAGAGAATAGTGTATCAAATCCAAAAATTCTGTGAATTGGCTGAAAACTATTCCTTTAGCAGAACCATCTCTTTCAACCATAAATCTAATTTCTTCCCTCTAGAACCAACAAGACAAATAGTGAACCTCGAGAAAAATTTAAAAACAAAAAAATCCCAGAGGAATAAGGAGACAGAAAAACATAGAATATAGCTAGAAAGAGTAAAAGAACGGTTTGTAACATACCAAGGCATCTATTTTAGTACTAGTCTGGAATTCAGCGAGCAGAATTCTGTTCAGTATACTCGAGGCCCTAAATCCTTTGATTGTTGTTCTGTTTTTTGAATCTCTATTACCACTACTATTTAATAGTTCTGCTGTGAGTGGCTTGGAGCACGTAGGGCATGAAACTTTTGGCATACTAGAAGAGAACTCCATCAAACAAGATTTGCAAAAGGTGTGTGCACATGATGTAACCTGTAACCACAGACAAACAAGTCCCTTGCTCATGTTAATTTATGGCAATGCCAACTAAAATTGCATGCTAAATCAACCATTGTCACAGGTTAATGTATGAAAGATCCAGTTCAAGTTAGCCCGGAACTTGGTAAAAGGAGGGGAGGGGAAAGAGAAAGAAAAACAAAATGAGAAATTACCACAGGTTCTTCTACTGAGCCATGACATATGCCACAAGGTTGTTCAACATTGCTAGCATCATTTTCACTTCTTGCCAAAGAGTATTCGACAAGGTAAGGGTGATCAACCGCCTGGACACATAACCGGTAATCCAAAAATCAGGAGAAACCATTTCTAGAACTAAAAAACATCACAAGGTAGAACCAGGCAACCAGCTTATCATAACATTCCATGCATTTTTAGCAGAGTAGATTGATGCTTTAACAGAAGAAAACTGAATGATGTGAGCTTTTCACAAAGTATAACTAGCTTATCTAAAATTCCATACATATATGGTAATGGCAAAAATCATGTTGGTTTATCATGTAGCCTCTGGTCATTACTACATTCAATTCCACTGTCAACATTAACATGTTAATGTGTTTTATGACTTAAAACTCCACCATGAATAAAGAAATCAATTCATAAAACTAACTATTAACTATCATTGTTTATTAAACTATGCTACATGCTATCCACAAACCTGTCGCAAGCGTGTGAGGAGATCAAAAATGTGGGCGTAGTTATTCGTCACAGTTCCTTCCCGAACATATCTGCAAATAATGAAGCATTACAACCTGAAGTTACTAGTCACTAATCCTCTTTATTTTAGTTGCTTAAGCTATACTAGTAATACCCCATCTCAGACATATACTTTAAAATTTTAATATCCAAGAAATGGATCTAAGCAAGCCCCAGTTTGTCAAGATCTTCCTCAAAACATTCAGTCTCCCCTTCTGTCATTATATTTGAATAATGGATTCAATAGTCATGCTATGAGATTTTCAGGTGTAGAGGATATTCAAAATCCAGAATCAAGAAGGTAAATTCTTTGCTGAGCTTGGAGGTTGGGACTATATCTAAGTCAGGAGAATAGTTGGTATTGGGTACACAACAAAGACCATTTTTTAAGTAACATTTAAGTATGGGTGAAGAATAAAATTTGGTAGGGGTCTGCTCCCTGCACATAAATGAAGTGCTTTTGGAAAGATATAACAAGAACCAAACTCCTTATTCAGGTTGATACAATAACAGTATCTAACAGGAAGAGTAAAATTAAATGACAACTATTTGTCAGCTCCTTGATTAGAAAAAAAAAAAAGTGCCATGCTTTTAAGAAAGATAGGACAAGAGATAACAATCCAAAATTCAGGGTGTCACACTAAAACTAACTAATCTCTGGTCTAATTGGATTGCAATGACACCAATAGCAGAAGTGATGTGACATAGGTCCATAGCTAGCAGATGTAATGTCCATAAAGGTAGACAAAGTGATAAAGATAGAGTGATAGACAGTCAGGTGCAAGATTTAATGAGTAGAAAAAATTCAAGATCAGGCAGTACCTTGAGAATGTTAAATGTTTCAGATAGTCAATTTAATTTTAAAACATTTACGTAAAAAAGAGCAATCAGAAGACATACGTATTAAATTGAGCTTGACTCTCATTATATAAAGATGTATAGTAATCTTCTTCTTTGACATCAAGAGAATCCCGTCTCAGTGTCACCTGAATCAGAATTTTTTGATACATGTAAACTTTATTTCAGAAAATTTAGAATGACTGCAGTAATCTGGCCTTCAACTTACAATCCTTGGGGGAAGTGCAAGATCAGCAGCCCTGCCCTTTTTAGTTCGTCTAAGCAGAATGCTTTTCAGAATTTTGTTCCTCAACAAAAGCATAGCATCTCTACCATTCCCATAATGTCCTTCAGCTTGTATTGGTGAAGCAATATACTTGAATAGAAGGTATAACCAACAAAGCATGCGTAAGAAATCTGCTCTTGAAAGAAAGAGAGCAACAAAGGAATTAATAATATATTAGTCCATGAACTTACACGATTCCACCAACAAAAGTGTCGCACAGATTTGTGAGGGCAATGTGGGCATTCAGTTGAGGAACTGCAACCAAATGACAATTGCAATAAATTAAAAGAAAAAAAAATTACATCATGAAAATTATTTTTTAAAAACAAAACAGGAAAAATTACAATATGTGTTGCACATTATTTAAACAAAAAATACAAAGAACAAAAGAGCCTCTGTTTGTGTGTGTGTCTATAATGAGGCTACTTATCAAAGAATGAAAAGAATAACAAAGAAATTAAAGGCCATACACACAAATATACTTACATTAAATTCTACAGAATAATCATACAAGCAAAAAGAGGGAGGGAGGGGGGAGGGGGGTTGCTTGCATGAAAGGACATTCTAAGGCTGATTTGAGGTGAATGTAGCTTGAACTTCTGAATGACACAGTATGTCCAGATAGTGAACTTCAGAAGATAACTAAAAGAAACATAGACCAGAAGCACATACTTCAAGCATTGTGATGCATAACGTACAGAAATATTCATGCACTAATGACTAACCAGAGTTAAGAACTAATGTAAAGCGCAAATTAGATCAAGACTTAAATATAACCATGACTGAAAGATATCCTTTTACTAAAGTTTTCCAATCCAAGGACCAGGGAAAAATAAAATTCAAAAGGAAGCCCAACATTACCAATAATCAAGAGCTCTACAATCACAATCTTTACAAAAGTAGTAAGAATAAGGAACAATTTGAAGGAACCGGACCTGCACAAAGGAAAACAGCCTGATTAGACTATCATTTTGGTGGCAATTATGCTAACTTGCAAAACAGACTTACAAGTGAGTACAACTCTCCAACACGATTCTGAAGGGGGGTGCCACTCAAGGCCCACTTGTAGGAAGACTCTAAAGCAAGAATAGCTTTTGTAGTGTTAGAGCGTCTTTCTTTTATATAATGGGCCTGCATTACGGAGACACAGTGAGATGACAATGCTGCACAAATAGTAATAACAAAATTATGTGTCAGTTGGCATAACATTACCCACAAGCTTCAATAGAAAGCAAATACTTGATATGACCAAAATAGCTGTACTATAATTATAATAGATGCTGAACCACGCACTAAACTTTGAATCAAATATATAAGCTGCCTTAACAAGGTAAGACACATTATCAAATCAATTCATGTATACAGCAACCGAAAATGAGTCAGCTAAGAATAACTAAAGCACATTGAACTAATACACAAGAAAAAGCCAATTGCCAAAGTTAAATTTCGGATAGCAACACAACAGACTGCAAAAAGGAAGCTCTTCATGGAACAAATTGACTCACCACATCTTTAAAAAACAAAAACAAAAGAAAACAAAACTCACCTCATCCAAAATTATGCGATCCCATTTCACAGAATGCAAAATTGATTTTCCTGAAATGACTTGCTCTTCATTTGCTATGTTCTCAAATGGACCATCATTGCTGCATTCATTGTCAATGGTGCAACTTTTAACGCCCTTTTTACGGCCTTTCTTCCTTGGATTACCCTCAGAACCATTGTTTTGCTGAGCCTTGCCTTTATTAGATTCTGTTTTCTCCATTGACAATTTTACACCATATTTTGGTTTCTTTTTCTGTTGCTTTGACTGTTTAGCAGTTTTATTAGCATCTGGCCCACAGAAGTATTTCTGGTGAAGAGCCAACTTTTTTTCATAGAAAGCTCTTCCACACCACTCGCATCTCTGCTTTGGAGGCATCACATATTTTCTATAATCAAACTCAACAATGGAATAAGTTGTTATAACAAAGTCATACTCAGAGAGTCTGTCAAGGTATTTTTCCCTATTTTTTCCATGATAAACCAGGACCTTATTGCTGTCCTTCAAGGTGAAACGGTCAATCTCATTAACCCACTGCCTCACAGCAACCACCGGGCATATTACAAGAGTGCCTTTCATTGCTGGAAGCCCCTGAGATGTACTGGGAGAAGATGATGGCAAACAATGTTCACCAATAGCCTTCTTGAATTCACGCTTAGCAAGCACAAGTGCTATTGCTTGCACAGTCTTGCCCATCCCCATTTCATCAGCAAGAATGCCCCCTTTCGAAGCAGACTCTTCTTGCTTCAACGCCCATGCCAACCACTCCTTTTGGTATCTTAGCAGTGGCATTATCAATTCTGAAGGTGCCTCAGCAGTTTCAGACATCACCTCATTTCGATTATCTATTTCACCATCTATTGTGAAGTTCTCAACCAGCCACTGGTCATTGTCATCATCCCACACTTCCCACATTAATATCGGTCTGTCCTTTCTCTTCTTTATCCTTTTTTTCTTCCTCTCGTTTATCCGGTTTATCAGTGCAATGAATTCAGGACTCGTCGTATGAGGCCCTCCTACACCAAATTTACTCCCATCCACCACCTCTTCATTCTGTGGTTTTTCTTCCTTAACGCCAGTATTCATTTCAATCCCCCTTCTTGTAGATCCAACCTTCCTCCTCCGCTTTGGCACCTTGTCCAAAACATCATCATCAGAAAACCCAACCTCATCATTTACAAGATGGTTGAAAGGAAAACCTCCATTTTCATTCTCTTCTGAAATATCAATAATGCCATCATCTGCAGTCATCAAAACAGGAACCAAAACCCCTCAAGTTAACCCATTAACAAAAATGCAGAGATTTTCATGCCATGAATTAATGCTTGGCGAGTGCAAGGCTCCAAACGTGCATTTTCCACATTTTCTCATTTCAATAACTTCATTACAGAAAATGCAAGTACTTTAATCAGATATAGCATGAACACCCCGCCCGCATAAAAATGCACAAATAAAAGAGGTAAAATTAAGCACCAATTAATGAATGTATGCTGACTATACCTTCACTGGTATGATAATCAGAATCGGAAGAAACCACGAGATGATTATCATCATCAGAGAACTCCACACGATGCGCACCCTTTTCTGCTGCTTTTTCACCGCACAAAGAAACACACACACCCAGAAATGTTAACAAAAGGAAAGTTTAACTTGATCTGAAAACTAAACTATGCTGGAATAAAGTAAACAGAGAAAATCAGACCAAGAAATTCAACAAAATCAACGCTCAGAATCAGAACAAGCAAAAGAGGAAGACGATTTTATTATTACTGAAATAAAGTCGAATTTGGAGACTTGCCTTTCTTCCGAGGCCGTGAACGCTGATATCGACGCTTCATTGAGCAAAATCGAAGAGATTAGGGTTTCCACACAGAGAAAAAACAAAGATGAGTGGGTTTTAGAGAGAGATAGAAGCCGGAACACTCAGTCGCGTCTGCCTGCCCTTCTGCCTTTCTTTTTCACACACATATAAATATATATAAATAAATGTAAGAGAGAGAGACACAGAAACGCACATATAGATATAGTAGGGGGGAAATAGTAGGAAGTTGCGCGGCGGGAAAGTCTGATAAGGTGGACAAGGATGACGTCAGATCATATTTTTCCTTTTTTGTCAATTTTATTTGGTACGATATTTTATGCGCGGTGTATCACTTAGCGATGCGGCGGCCCATAAATTTACTGCTTTTTTTTTTTTTTACCGGTGGGTATAATAAATCAACTCCCGACATGACAATCGTGCTTGGGACGCTTTGGATTTCATGTAATCGGTAACGTCTGGAGATTTTTAACCGTCCGATTAGGGATTCTCTCGTAGTAATATTGTTTTTATTATATTTTAAAATTGTAAACAATAATCTATAAAATGTTAAATTCATAATAGATCTTCCTTGTCATAAAAATTCCATTCACCACATCTTTAGCGTCCTTGCGAAGAGACTTCCTCTTGTTTGTTGTTGTTTTTTAATATATTTCAAATATTGGAGATAAATTATATTGTAATTTAAAAATATTAACCAATTTATTATGGATCAATGTCTATATCTAAAATGACGTCATTTTAATATAGCATTTGTAATAGTCACTCAGAAAAGAGTAACAATATTACAAAATGAGCCCCACGCTACAGTCATGATGCATATGTAACATATTGTTTTTGTACATTAAACTCTATTTTTATAAACATATAAATGAATATTATGAAAATATTACAAATTAAATGTAAATATATATGATGTAAATGTAGTTTAGTATTTATGTATATTAAGATTTATATTTATGGTCATATAAAACAAATATTAAGAGCATATTGTAATGTAGATGAATGTTATTAAGCATGGTGCATTGATTGACGCTATTAACATGTAACAACTCAAATAAAATGACACCGTTTTGGACTAAGATCCACCACAAAGTAAACATGGTCTATGATGAACCTCGGATCCATGATATAATTCGTGAGTATTAACATTTGTTTATAAAGTTTTGGACACAAATAATTTTTTTTCCAAACAAAATCTTTTTATGAATAACTATTTATAAGTGAGTATTTTATAATTAAGTAAAGAGTTGATGAGCGCACTTACAATATCATAATATAAAGTCATAAATCAATGCTAATACTCAACCATAGGTCTTAAAGTATTAAATATTAACTCAATTTAGTACTTCATCATCAATTAAGTTTTTATTTATTAGTATATACATACACTTTTGTACTTTGCGACATGTAATCAATTTGTATTAGGGAATGCCATGAGCCCACGATATTATTCTTGTTGTTATTTTATATAGTTTCAGAGCAATCACGAGTCGTCCCATCCGTCCTCAAATTTTACCCATGTTTGTATACTTAGAGCACAAGGAAACTTCCCGGGATTATTTTACACACTATCACACCATGTATATAGAATTGCCGAAACACCATCCATTGAGTTATCATGATTTACATCTTCGGGTTAGTGTGTGGGGGACCTTGGGGTTGGGGATTCAACATTTGGGACAAGGGGCTAGAATTGTCAAAACACGTTCTACTCTTCAAGGTAAATCCATTTAACTTATTTTTAATGCGAGTTAAGTTGTGATTTAGGGTCATTGCTAGAAATTTCTGAGTTTTTTACCACCAGGGACGGAGCCAGAAAATATGTTGAGGGGGGGCAAAGAAGTAGGGATGGATTCAATGGCGGATTCAGAAATTTTTTTCAGTGAGATAAAAAAATTAAAATAAAAGAGAAAGTTTAAAACAAATGAAATACATAAGAAGTATAACAATAAATATTGTTGGATATAGCGAAAAATAAAACATATTAAAACTTTATAAAAATATTTATAACAAAATATGAAACATAATTAATTTGATAAAACAATTGGAATATAAAACACATTATAAATTACACATTCCATTATTATTAATATAAAGAAAGTTATAATGGAAGTTATTTTTCCAAAATTTAATTGTGTTAATCACAAGAAGTGAAGATGACTATGACATTGTCAATGCTAAGACTCGAACCAAGCCATTCTCAAACTCATACACATTACCTACCACATTGTCTATTACAACTTTTGTTTACATAATCTGTTTTATAATACTTATATGATTAATGCACTATATATACATATTATATACAATATAGGGTAGGGGTGGGGTGGGGTGGGGTGAGGGGGGGCAGCTGACCCCCCTGCCCCCCCTCTGGCTCCGTCTCTGTTTACCACCATAAAGTGGTCAGAAATCAGCGATTTTTTTATCGAAACCCGCTATTCCGATCAGTTGGGGTATCCGCAAAATTGTTCTCGCTATTTTCAATCATCGCATGAAGTGGTCGAAAATAGTGTCCGCTATTACAAATTAAATATGTTTAAAAGCATACATACTTTGTAATGAGTAATACATTAAATAATTTATCAAGAATTTATTAAAAGTAAAAAATTATTGTTTTAAGAATGCTCAATTAATATTTAGTAGCAAATTAGAATCTTGCATAGATTTCCATTATCTATCAATATAAAACCATGCTCTAAAAAAAATTAATATAAAATTATAAAACCATTTCCCATAAAGCATGAAAACATAGCAGTTTGATGACACCACAATACAATCTCGTGATACAATAACTAATTTATATTATTTTTATATATAGTAATCTAGGCACACAAATTTTATTTTATATTATTGTAGTCGTGCAACTTGCAAGTAATGTCTGGTGACGATGTCTTCTCAAGGAATGGTGTATCCTGCAATAAGAAAAAATAAAACGTTGTGAATTAAATAAACCCAAAAAATAATATATTTTTTGAATGGTAAGAAAAACCTATAGTTATTATTGGATGGTGCTATAAAAGGTAAATCCCACCTTGTGGAATTAGCAACGCAAACAACCACAACAAGATAAATCAGTCTAAGTTACCTATAGTTGAATGGTTCAACCCAAGAAATTTAATAGGACAGTCCCCCTCAAGGACAATTCTATCATTTTATAGGCTACGAGCAAAATAAAATTAAAACAGTGGCCCTTAATGAGATAATTTTGAATTTTTGTAAACATATATATTTTTTGTTTAAAAAAAATTAGACTACCATTAGAGTAGTAGTGCCCATTTAAGCTTTGGGCACTTATATAAAGTTTAATTATAAATTAATTTAACATTTGCTAATATATATATATATATATATATATATATATATATATATATATATATATATATGGTTAGGTTCCTGTGAGAACATAGCTTCCCGTGCGGTTGATGCATTTTTTTTTTTTTTTTGATGTGTGGTGCTTTTGTGGCATTTCATTCTAGTGCATTTTGAACCAATATAATATAATATATATATATATATATATATATATATATATATATATATATATATATATATATATATATATATATAATTTTTATTTTTTTTGCATGGCGAGGGAGAAGATTAGAGGAAGCTTACGTCCACACTTCTTCCCTACTGGGCGATTCTTGATGATGCATCTCTTGGGAATGGTGACAGCGATTGCCGGGTTTACGCCGACTTTCATGGCCAACGGAGACAACAGTACGACGCAGAGGCACTTAGGGGCGGTCTTGAGCAGCGCTCCGACTTTGCCGCAGCATGTCGGCGGGACCTTAGCCCTTGCATCCTTAGCAGCCCCAAGGCAAGGTTCTAGGCTGGCCGCCGGTATGTTACCGCAGCCTCCCTGGCCGCAGCCGGCAGCGTTTGCCTTGTCAAAAAGCACTGCTTGAGAAGCTAGCAAGTACAGAACAAATGCCGCATAGCTAACTTTCATATTGAACAATGTCATTGTTTCTAGCAGTGTTTAAGGATTAAGTGTAGTGTATTGTAGTTAAAGTGTGTAAGTGGTCGTGGGAAAACTCATGTTAGAACTACCTATATATAGAGGTAATAGGTAGTATCTTCAAGATCAAGATTCCATAAAGGTATACCGTATATATGCTCAATTGCTTATTAATTACCCTCTATTCTAAGTAAGAGTGGTCTAAATATTTTATTTATTTGAGTTGATCAGTTATAGACAACTTATACTAATTTATCTCCTTGTAATCCTCTATCTGTTAAGATTATAAAATGAGATTTTTTAATGCACACATTTAAATAATGAGTGTCAATTTTTGTCGTCACAACAACAAATTAAGTATTGACAAAATCAAGGAAGGGGTTGAAGTGTGAAAGCAAGGGTGATTGTGGGGTTGTGGAGTGGTTGAATTTGAGGATTTCCATTAAACAATGATTTTGAAGTTAGGTTTGATGCGCGTGCATTTCTCCTTCCAAGCATTTCTTGGCAGGTGGAGCTTTGTCGATTTCCCCTTTGAAAAGGGGTGCGATTGGGGCATTATTACAAGGGAATTGTATGCCTAATATAGAGTCATGATTGACCTACATCTATATTGAGTTAAAAATGAAGTATGAGTAATGTTGATTTTATTAGCGGTCAGTTGAACATAAATCTAAAATCAAGTCGTCATACATTTTCTTTAGAATATAAGAATACAATTTTAAATCAAGAAATTAATATACCCTCAAATAATAAATATTCCAGACAAATTATTGTTTGATTATTATTTAATCTTTTTAACAGCTAAACAATATTTAAAGAAGTTGTCATATAAACGTTTCATTTAGTGTGAGCAACGCTTGTCTAGGGATGAGAATTGTGGTGGACCAACCACTACCACTTATACTCTCTAGTTTCTAATAACCACATCCTTCATGAGCATTTTGGATGGGAGAACTTGAGGATCCTTGTGTAAGAAAGGAGAAAGTGTAACCATTTAAAAAAAAATAAAAATAAAAATGTGTTTCCGCCTCTTAAAAAAATAGAAAAGAAAGAGAGTTCATTACATTTTTATCCTAGATTTATAGGTGACAGTTCACTTTTAAGTGTTTTTTTTTTTGTTTTTTTTTTTTTTGTTTTTTGTTATCATAACATCTACTTCTGGTCTAGTATTATTGTGGTATGGCCATTTTTTACTATTTATCTATAAAAAAAAATTTAAAAATCATTAAATACAATGGCATTTCTGTTTTCAATAATGATTTTTTTTTTTTAAAGATAAACATAAAAAATATATTGATTCAACCTACTTTGTATAAAAAAGATTGAAATGTCTTCGTATTTAACAACAGTTCAACGATTTTGTTGATGGAAGACTAAAAATAGCCATTCCATGTTAATACTAAAATTGAACGAGGATGTTCTAATAAAAAAAAATTAAAAGTAAACTATCACATTTTAAATCTAGAACCAAAAATGAAATTAACTCCAAAAGAAACTTATAATAGGGTGTTTGGTAAGATGGAATTGCAATTCCATTCCTACCAAACTCCATGAAATTGTGTAATTCCATGATTTAGTTGGAGAAAATTATAATTTCATGCTTTGTGGAATTGTGATTCCATGGTAAATTACAACTGTCACTGTGAAACGACGACTAATGATCTCTTCCTTCAACGACTTCTAACTGTTTCTTCGAACGACGTCGTTCCAGGCCGTTGACTTCTTCATTCCCCTTGTGCTTCTCTTCTTCTTGCAAACTCTCCCTTCATTAACATAGGAAGCATCCCGGGCTGTAACATATCCAATGGTTTTTTTTGGTATTTTATAAGGGGAGACAATGGTTTGCATATACACGCTGCACTTATGCATGTCAGGGTGATTGCATTTCAGATATTCAAATGTCTTCTCTCCTACGTTGTACCTCACCGTAAACCATCCATCAATCTCGATTATCAAATCCCCATTCCTCGCGACGCACAAAGGGGCTACATATTCACCGAACTCCAGACTGTCGCCGGTGGAGAACAATTTCTTCCACGACGTTCCGATACCATATTCCTCCATCTCCCAGAACTCAATGTTACAGTCAATGGCCGTAGGAGTGGACAGTAAACCCAGACGATCCTTTGAAACCCAAAGAACCTCGAAAGTTGAGTTCGGATCTCCCGTCGTAGGTTGAGGCAGCTCGCTGAATGTCTCCGCCGTTAAGTCGAAACGGAGTATCAGGCCGCCGCCGTTAACTCCTCGGTCGGCTAACCAGTGCAAGCCTCCGTGTAGTAAACTCCCTATCGGGCCATGGAAATAGCAGCCTTCCGTTTCGTGGACGACGGCGATGCTCTTGTCGGGGCCGTTAATCGTGCTCCAAGAATCGCGGTATATGCAGAAGACGTAGGCGGTTGTTTCGTTGGTTGATTTGGAGCGGACGACCTTAACGACCTTGTAGTCGTCTATGGCGGCGTCGTAACCGAAGCCGTAGAACGCGGCGGAGTTTGCGTGAGGAGGAGGCGGTGGGCCCGGCAACTCCCGGGCCAATCTTATACAAGGGTTCCAAAGAATGATCCTTTCCAGGCCGTCGTACTGGTATAACAGAGCAACCAGGCCGTGGCACGAGCCGATGACGTGGTGTTCTATGCACTGGTCCTCGGGGCCGAGAGGATCGTCGAGGTATACCAAGGTATCGGAGTCGTCTGGGGCGGATTCGAGGGCGGACGGCGACTCATAATCCAGTGACTCGTAGCTAAAATACGTGAGGATTCTGAGAGGGTTGTGGGGGGGATTGGACAGGGTTCGATCGAGATGTTTCTTCACAAAATTTCTACTGGAGATTAGATTGTGCCAGGATTTAGAAACGCATTTGCATCTTCCTAGTGGTTTGGGTGGCAACCTCGAGAGGATCTCTTCAATGGCGTCTTGCGGCAGCTTTCTCATATCCATTATCTATCTATCTTTTGTTGTTCGTTGCTGATATGATCTTATCCATTAAGAAGCTAAAGTTGAGATTTTAATGGCGAATTTGTTGACTTCTTTGCCTGCGCTTAGCTTACTCGAGAAGAAGCTTGCTTTGCACAAAATATTGAACAGTCAATGCTCTGGCCCCGACAGCGTTGATAAGGTCATTCATTAACCAACCAAGGTGTATGTGGGGCATTTTGTGTAAATTATAAGTTTGATTTTTTTTTTTTTTTTTAAAAACTCACATTATAAGTTTGATTCTTAGTCAAGTTAGTCGGACTATTAATAGACTTGGTAATTATAAGACTACAAATTCGTCTCCTAACCAGAGTAACATATTAGTCTTCTTAATTTTAATAAGCCAATTATGTCAATTATTGACAACTGATTTACCTCATTGTGGTCCTTTATCACACAACGGAGTGTATCCAATGCACAGGATAGTGATTACAAGTTTTGCCCACACAGTCTTAGCTCACTGGTTTAATAGGCAATATTTGAGTAAAGAGACCAAGGTTCGAACATCGATAGTGGCAGTGTGAGGATTATATCCAAAATTGATAAATTCCTTGTGCGCACCGTTATTTGGCCGTGCCTACTGCGCCAGTGAGTCAAGCCAGAATTGGGGGTGAACCTTTTAGAAGAAGTGCCAGAATTGGGGGTGAACCTTTTAGAAGAAGTGACCGTAAATTCCCCCCCCCCCCCCCCCCCCCCCAATACACACCCTCTTAAATAGTGGGTGCATGTTTTTCTTATCGAAAAGTTAACTTTGTAATCATGAAGTTCTAAATTCGATGGGAGGACAGGACTTCCCGCCCGGAATATTGTAATCATCCTACATCAGGGAAATATTAATCAAATTCTGCAATGCATGCAAAAAGAAAGATCTCACCAGAACAAAGAATGCAAATTACATGTATGAATAAAACCATCAAACACACTGATAAGAAACTGCAAGTAGTCTCAGAAAGGACTGCATTTACCTACAACAAACAGCATACATGCCAAAAACACAAAGGATCAAGCCCGTTTCCCTATACGGGTTGGTCTTGGTGCAGAGATTATGTCGACCCTTGGCACGTCTTCGCTTCAAAAGTGCTCTTCCACTCGTGGTGCGCATGCGCCTACGGAAGCCGTGTGTTCGGGCTAAAGACTTCCGAGACCTACTCCTCTTGGTTTGACAAAGAGCAGCTTTCCCTGCTCTAACCACCAGAACACGCCTTCTACCCGTGCTCACTCCCGTGTTAATATTGAAGCTCAACCCCAGTGATGAACCTGCAATGAGGTTAAAGTTATCAACTTTCGCTAAGTTTTCTACCTAACACAATTTTTCGGATAAAACAAGTTCAAACAAAAGCCAACCCAGTAGTCGTTTCTCTCAGACTCAAACTATTATTATAAAAACATTAGCTCAAACTATTCACCTGCATTAGAAAGTCTGAAATACAATGAAATTAGTCACTGACTTCAAAATTATCCAATTTCCATCTCAGACTTTTGCTACAATATCAAATTCCAAGATTAATTAACTGAAATTAGTTCAAACCAAAGATAAATTCGTAATTAATAATTCATCTTTTATTTAACTATTATTACTTCAATGTCTTCCACATTGTTAATCAATGAAGTTCACAAGTGGCTATCATTGCATCCATAGGAAGCTACCCAAAGAGCTCAAAGGAAATACCAATCAACTTCACCATTCTTCCATTATCAGTTGCCTTCCACATATTATGAAACATTAACCAAAGGTTGAATCTTTATAAGAAAACTTCAAAGATTTTCAGTAATTTTTCAAGACTAGTATTCTCCTGCTCCAAATTCTAGTTCAAAACATCATATCAACAAATCATTTCAAAGCACACCCAGTAAGCATCATCAGTATGAATTCCCCTAATTCAATGAAATTAGCCATATTAAATCACATCCAAACTCCTTAAGATCAATAAAAATAACCTTTTTATACATTAGCTATATTCAATGGAAATACACAAAACGACGTCGTCTAACGCTTGCTCCAACTGTCTTCAACTGCCACTGTGAAATGACGACGTATGATCTCTTCCTTCAACTACTTCTAACTGTTTCTTCGAACGTCGTCGTTCCAGTCCTTTGACTTCTTCACTGCCCTTGTGCTTCTCTTCTTCTTGCAAACTCTTCCTTCATTAACATATCCAATGGTTTTTTTTGGTATTTTATAAGGGGAGACCATGGTTTGCATATACACGCTGCACCTATGCATGTCGGGGTGATTGCATTTCAGATATTCAAATGTCTTCTCTCCTACGTTGTACCTCACCGTAAACCATCCATCAATCTCGATTATCAAATCCCCATTCCTCGCAACGCACAAAGGGGCAACATATTCACCGAACTCCAGGCTCTCGCCGGTGGAGAACAATTTCTTCCACGACGTGCCGATACCATATTCCTCCATCTCCCAGAACTCAATGTTACAGTCAATGGCCGTAGGAGTGGACAGTAAACCCAGACGATCCTTTAAAACCCAAAGAACCTCGAAAGTTGTGTTCGGATCTCCCGTCGTAGGTTGAGGCAGCTCGCTGAATGTTTCCGCCGTTAAGTCGAGACGGAGTATCAGGCCGCCGCCGTTAACTCCCCGGTCGGCTAACCAGTGCAAGCCTCCGTGTAGTGAACTCCCCATCTTGCCATGGAAATAGCAGCTTTCCGTTTCGTGGACGACGACGATGCTCTTGTCGGGGCCGTTAATTGTCCTCCAGGAATCGGCGCCGTATATGCAGAAGACGTAGGCGGTTGTTTCGTTGGTTGATTTGGAGCGGACGGCCTTAACGACCTTGTAATCGTCTATGGAGGCGTCGTAACCGAATCCGTAGAACGCGGCGGGGTTTGCGTGAGGAGGATTAGGCGGTGGGCCCGGCAACTCGCGGGCCGATCTTATACAAGGGTTCCAAAGAATGATCCTTTCCAGGCCGTCGTACTGGTACAACAGAGCAACCAGGCCGTGGCAGGAGCCGATGACGTGGCGATCTATGCACGGGTCCTCGGGGCCGAGAGGATCGTCGAGGTCCACCAAGACATCGTCGGAGTCTGAGGTGGATTGGAGAGCCGACGGCGACTCATAATCCAGTGACTCGTAGCACCAATAGGTGAGGATTCTGAAAGGGTTGTCGGTGGGATTGGATAGGGTTCGATCGAGATGTTTCTTCACAAAATTTCTACTGGAGATTAGATTGTGCCAGGATTTAGAAACGCATTTGCATCTTCCTAGTGGTTTGAGTGGCAACCTCGAGAGGATCTCTTCAATGGCGTCTTGCGGCAGCTTTCTCATATCCATTATCTATCTATCTTTTGTTGTTCGTTGCTGATATGATCTTATCCATTAAGAAGCTAAGGTTGAGATTTTAATGGCGAATTTGTTGACTTCTTTGCCTGCGCTAGCTTACTCGAGAAGAAGCTTGCTTTGTACAAATATTGAACAGTCAATGCTCTGCTCCGACAGCGTTGATTAGGTCAACATTGAAAATGAAAGGACAAGGGCAATACCAACCAAGGTAGTATGTGGGGCATTTTGTTGTAAATTATAAGTTTGATTCTTAGTCAAGTTAGTCGGACTATTGACTTGGTAATTATAAGATTATAAATTCAACTCCTAATAGGAGCAACATATTAGCCTTCTTAGTTTTATAATCAGTCAATTATTGACAACTGATTTATCTCATTGTGGTCCTTTATCAGTTTTAATCAGCCAATTATTGACAACTGATTTACCTCATTGTGGTCCTTTATCATACAATGGAATTTACCCAATAGTGACTACAAGTTTTGCCCCCGCAGTCTTAACTCACTGGTTTAATAGGCAATAGTTGAAAAAAGAGACCAAGGTTCGAACCTCGGTAGTGACAGTGTGAAGATTATATCCAAAGTGAGTAAATCCCTTGTGCACACCATTTGGCCCTGCCTACCGCGACAGTGAGTCACCGTGATTTACATTATCTTAAATGCTCTGTCGGGCTAGGGTTGGGGATTCAACTTTTTGGAAGAAGTGACTGCAAATTTCTCCCAATACACACCCTCTTAAACAGTGGGTGCATGTTTCTCTTATCGAAAAGTTAGCTTTGTAATTATAAAGTCCTAAATTCGATGGGAGGACAGGACTTCCCACCCGGAATATTGTAATCATCCTAGATCAGGGAAATATTAATCAAATTATGCAATGCATGCAAAAAGAAAGATCTCACCAGAACAAAGAATGCAAATTAGATGTGTGAATAAAACCATCAAACACACTGATAAGAAACTGCAAGTAGTCTCAGAAAGGACTGCATTTACCTACAACAAACAGCATACATGCCAAAAACACAAAGGATCAAGCCCGTTTCCCACTATACGGGTTGGTCTTGGTGCAGAGATTATGTCGACCCTTGGCCCGTCTTCGCTTCAAAAGTGCTCTTCCACTCGTGGTGCGCATGCGCCTACGGAAGCCATGTGTTCGGGCTAACGACTTCCTAGACCTACTCCTCTTGGTTTGACAAAGAGCAGCTTTCCCTGCTCTAACCACCAGAACACGCCTTCTACCCGTGCTCACTCCACTGTTAATATTGAAGCTCAACCCCAGTGATGAACCTGCAATGCTTCCACATTGTTAATCAATCAAGTTCACAAGTGGCTATCATTGCATCCATAGGAAGCTACCCAAAGAGCTCAAAGGAAATGCCAATCAACTTCACCATTCTTCCATTATCAGTTGCCTTCCACATATTATGAAACATTAACCAAATCTTGAATCTTTATAAGAAAATTTCAAAGATTTTCAGTAAATTTTCAGGACTAGTATTCTCCTGCTCCAAATTCTAGTTCAAAACATCATATCAACAAATCATTTCAAAGCACACCCAGGAAGCATCATCAGTATGAATTCCCCTAATTCAATGAAATTAGCCATATTAAATCACATCCAAACTCCTTAAGATCAATAAAAAGAACCTTTTTATACATTAGGTATATTCAATGAAAAAAAAAAACCCACATTGTGATTCAATGTGGAAAAAAAAAAAAAAAAAAAACAAAAACCCACCTTATGGGACAACCCCATCAAAGTTGTTTAGGAGGTAACAACAAGTTTCCGAGTTTTAGCAGTCTATTTGTCTTCTTGATTTGAGCAAACTATACACACTATAAAAAAATTAAAAAAAAAAAACCCTCACATTGGCCGAATTTTGCAGCTAACATGAACAGAAAATCTATACGTCTTCAGTTCACATCAAAATTTCTACGAAATTTACCCTATTATAGCTAAAGGCGGCATAATCTTTCAATCACAAAATAACTAAATAACCATAAAGATAAGAAAGCAAACAAAATTGACCTGAGAAGGAGGAACTAGAAATGCTAGAGAGCGGTGAAGAAGCAGAGACAAAGGAGCAGCGAAGGAAGCCAGGAGCTGTGGATTTGAGAGAGACCGAGGCGGGTGTAGTAGCTCTTGAAGCGGCGGCGAGCGACAGAGAAGCCGAGGTTGCCGGCCTTTGTCGGACGCCTGTGCAGAGCCACGTTCCTGTTGCAACAGCAGCCATTGTTTCACCTCTCTTCCTATCTACAAACCAAGTTTAAGGCTTTGGCTCTTTGCAGCCTTATCGGATAAGCTTATGAGCCATGGATGCGGGGCTGTTTGGGTATTCATATGAAAGTTATGGATTGGATTTTATTCATAGGCCCATATTTATACAGTTAGCCCAATAACTTTCGTTTTCCAATGAACTATGACCCCAATAGTATAATTTCCGGGTCAAAGCCCAATGTCACGGATGGTGCGCTGTCTTAGTCCATCACAAATAAAATAAGACGAAAGAAAATGTATTATTTGTATTATTACTCATAAATATATATTCCCGTTACGTGACTTGATAAGTATTCGAGAGACAGTAGGTTGAGAAAATAACTATGAACAAATATTACATTCTAACAGAGTCAGTAGTACTAGAAAAAAAAATAAAAAATCTTACAATAAAGAAGAAGAGTAAAATCAAGTTACCTGTAATAGAGTTCAAATTTTTATGGTCATAAGCGGGAGCAGGAGGGAATCTTCCTTGGGAGCTAGCTAGCCTCTATTGGTACATTAAATCAAGAAAGCACCATCTGAAATTTAATGAAAAAACAGACGTTTACGTAACTGTCCACCAACAAGTTTATCTCACCAAATTCATATCAGTAGTACCATATGATATGCCTAATTACATAATATATTATACACTTTGTTAACAATACTCAAAATAATTTAAATAAGAGTTAATACCCAAAATGGTCCCTCGACTATGCCATAATTACCAATTTGGTCCTCAACTATCATTCTTACCCAATTAAGTCCTCAACTATGTAACTTTTACTCAATTAAGTCCTCAACTATACAACTCTTACCCAATTTAGTCCTCAACTATACAATTCTTACCCAATTTAGTCCTCTGTATTAATTTGACTGTTTGTTGACTGTCAAAAGTCGGGATAAAATTATAATTTTACAAGATTTCTCCTTCCTCTCCATTTAGCAGCGCCAAACCATGCAGCAATACACTCCGATCAGATTTCGATCGTCAAAAAATCGTTGGAAATCAAATTCATGGGCTATCCGATGCATAACCACTACTTCGATACTGACAGGTTTAGAACCCAACCAGAGCTTATTGCTACATGGTTTGGCGCTGCTAAATGAGGAGGAAGGAGAAAACTTGTAAAATTACAACTTTATTTTCACTTTTGACAGTCAACAAACAGTCAAATTGACAAAGGACTAAATTGGGTAAAAATTGTATAGTTGAGGACTTAATTGGGTAAGAATGATAGTCGAGGACCAAATTGGTAATTACGACATAGTCGAGGGACTATTTTGGGTATTAACTCTTTAAATAATATACATAATTGTACATAATATATATAAAAAAAAAAAATTAATGTCGTTCAGTATTATAAAATTTTCTTATGAATTATTGATAATTCATAGATCATTATTAATGTGACACAATAATTTGTGGAAATCAAAATCAATCACCTCTAAACCAAAAATAATAATAATAAATAAAAATCTCAAGCATTATTGTGAACGTTTGTATTTATTTAACTAATTATAATTTCTTGTATTATTAATATACCAATGACCACGCAACAAAATAATAATTGAGTCATAATATCCTTAATAATACCAAAAGAGGCTAGAGTTAATTAAGTTATCACCCTCAACGTTGCTTTCAATTGAAATTGACTTAATTTTATTATTTTATATTGGAGGATTGTGAAGTTTTAAACGAGTTAGAAAATATATATATATATTGTCACTAATTAACAACGTACATCAACTTATATATAATTTTAAACAAGAAAATGTATGTTTTAATTTTTAGATGTACTAAAAAATGATTTTATTAGAACAGCTCCCGTCAAATTGATTAAATTGTTATTTAATAACCACATAATTATAGCTTGTATTCAATCCATGCATGCAAAAAAAATGTTGTCGCCACTGGCCATCGTAGAGTTGTCACTGTGGCACAAAACCAAGGATGAAATTGACAGTACTCGGTGGTGGTTTCTGTCGAACACCCCAAACTTATCTTTCAAGTTATGATGATATTATTGTTCAAGAAATAACTTAATTGATTAAATAACTCAAAATAAATTTACAAATTTAGATTTGTTAACAACTTAACATTTGCAAGGTGTAAGTCAGTTGATGTGTATCTCACGATCTACATGGCCTACATACCAATCTCCAGGATAGAATATATATAGGTCCTGTTTGGTAAAATGGCTGTTAGCTGATAGCTATTTGCTGTTAGCTGATTGTGTTAATTAGAGGGTATAAATACTTGATAACATTAGCTGATTGTAGAAAAGTGTTTGGTAAATTAGCTGTTAGCTGATAGCTGTTGGTATGATTTTTTTTTCTCAAAAAAACTAATTGAAAAAGTTGCTAGGAGTAACTTTTTTAATTTTAGCCTTTTGGAGTTGCAAAAAGCTAATTAACCAAATATTTATATTGATATTTTAACTAAATCAAACAATTAATAGTGGTCAAATAAGCCAAAATTGACCTATAGGCTAATTTTTTACCAAACAGGACCATAGTGAGCAACCACCCCTCAAGTTTGAAGTTCAAATTTAAGTTTCGATACTTCTATTATATTGTCATATTGGGTTTATGATATTATTGCATGCGTAGGCATTTCAGTTAGTTCTTGAGTAATAAATTGTGTCATTGTGGTAACTGGTAAAACATAGGATCGAGCTTTAGCAGAGTTGTAAGGTGGGAGTTACATGCAAATGTAGTGAGCTATTTGTGGGCACCAGACACTAATCCTCTCACTTAATGGGTCTTGAGTCACTGTGATTTAGTCATCCAGTATTCTATCGAGTCATAACGTGAGGGCTTTAGGAGCGATGGTTTTTTATTTATTATTATTATTTTTTTTTTGGTGAACAACTTAAGTTATGATATTATTTGAAGTTGATCGGAGTGTTACATCAGAGTTTCATCAGTATACGTATATACGTATAGTATTATTACTAATTTAATGTTGTCATTTATTGTACATATATAAATTGAAGATAATTATGAGTGGTAGTTTAATTTAATGCAAATTAAATAGAAGTTGAGTTATGTTTACGTTGCTGTGAATGGTGACATGATATGATTCTTTTACCAATTATAATCAATTACGTCTCTACTTGATAAGAGCAAAGCCACCAAATTGAATGCAATTCTAAGCAAAGTTCGTTAACACCAAATTAGCAAGGGATGAAGTAGGCCACACATCCCACTACTCACTTTTTGCTCACTCTCAACACAACCCAATTCCACCATCATCATATCATTCCAACTTATGGTTGGTCCACTCTTAACCACTCGCCTAAGTTATCTATTTGCATTGTATTGTGCCTCCAATCCATCATGCATGTCACTCTTAACCACATGGATACCAATACGTGTTCCAATTCTTTTTTTTTTTTTTTTCCTTACATGAACAACTCAATTGGTTACGGAATGAAGTTTGGGAACAATGACCTGAGATTGAGTCTCACCAGCGACAGTGTGGGAACAATCTTTCAAAGTGAGGGGCTCCTTGTAAGCAGTAAGCAAATGTCTAGCCTCGATGTTCAGCTGAGTTACATCATATAATCCCAAATGCTCCTAGGGCTCGTTTGGTTCGCGGAAAATATTTTAAGGGAAGTGGAATTGAAATTTCATGGAAAAACAATTACTAGGAAGATGAATTTCATTGTTTGGTTGGTGGGAAACGAATTACTGGGAATACTAATTCTATTGTTTGGTTAGATTTGGAATTATAAGGAATAACGAGTATAAAGACCTATATGCCCCTATAAATTAATAAAAGTAATATAATTAAAAAAATAAACAAAATTCTTGATCCAACCAAGGGTAAAATAGGCATTCCATCTCACTTTTTCTTCCCATCTTCCATGGAAAACAAAATTCTTGATCCAACCAAGGATTTTGTTTTCCTCAAATTTGAGGAATTCATTTTCCAATGGAAAATGGATTGGAAAATGAATTCCATGAACCAAACACAAGAAAACAACATTTTCCTCCACTCTAAGGAAAATGTCTTTTGGAAAACATTTTCCATGAACCAAACATCCCCTTATAGTTTCTAACGGAAAGTAGTAAATAGTTTTCGTCGCGAATCCAACGGAAACCAACAAATGAAGAAGATGGAGAACAGGAAAAAAGTTGCTTTGTGTTTTCCGGGAAATGATTTCCCCCAAGAAGGGGAAAGTTATTTTCCGAAAAAATGTGTTTGTTTTTCGTTTGACCAGAAATCAATTTTCGTTGACAATCATTTTTCCCTTGCCAAACATTAGAAATCCGGAAAATGATTCCCGAAAATTATTTGCCGAGTTTTCAAACACAGCCTAAGTATCAATAATTCAATTTAAAGATAACTAACTCATGTATTCTTAAATAATTCTTAATTAGTTTTTGACACATTATTATTTAGCTGTAACGATCAATCAGTGTGAACATTTGATGTTTTTTTTTTTTTTTTTTTTTTTTTTTGAAAACATGAACATTTGATGTTAATCATCATGTTATATGTCTGATCATGAATCCAATTATTCCAATGTATATCCACATCCAAAGAATGGGGGCGAAATAAATTTAAATTGGAAAGAAATTATGATGCACACGTTCCACTTCCATCATCATGTCGTCGTCTGCACTGTTTAATTGTCCATTTTTTTCATTAAATTCAACTTTTTATCTTTACCATATTTGTGTTGCAGGGTGGCAGCAGAAGAGAAAATGGAAAAGATTTACTTGACTTTGAAGTCATATATGCATGCTTAAAAACATACTGTATAAGGAAAATGGAAAATTCTCCCCGGAAAAGAAAGATAAGTATAGGTATTTGGATGCTAATTTAAGGCATATGAGCCGCTCTTTAGTTACTCAAAATTAGACATGTGAAGTCATTCAAGTTGGTCAGACTGTTGACTTGGTAAATATAAAATTACAAATTCGACTTGGTAACTTGAAAAATATATAATTTTGGATATATTTACCGAACACTTTTTTTGGTGATAAAGGAAATCCACAATCATTACTCAAAGATGTGCCCTGAATACTCTCCTCCTATGTATATTTACTCAACAATTCGGAAGTTAGTTTTTGGAACTTTTCTAGCTAGGCTAAACGTAAAAATATATTAAAGATAATGAAGCAAATATATGTATATGGTACTTTCTTGCTACATTAGTGTAAGGTCTCTTTAGTTGGAATGAATATGTAATAAAACATTACCGACAAAAGAAATTGTGGGGTCCAAGTGAAATTTATCCTTATACAATCATGTAAGAAAACAACAAATTTGATATGCACATAATTAAAAACTTTAATTAAAATACAAAATAATTTAAAAAGAAAAAACAAGTGTTGACTACCCTCCTACATACGTACATTTGTGAGTGAACTTGGCAGGCCAGTAGGCCACATATATGCATATAGAAAAATGTATAGATAAAATTGCATATATATAATAATAAAGTTGGACCACAAATTGAATTAATTAAGAAGATACATAGTTTTGGCTAGTGGAACATTATGATTGTATGGCATGAATAATATCATTTTGGTGTGCAGTGGTTCTGCAGCTAAAAGAGACCTCTGATCTCTAGCCATGGGAAGAAAAAGATGAAAGAGAAATGACCCAAAAATATTGCATTCATATTATCAATAATATATAACGACATAAAATTTCACTTGATGAAGCAGTAAACATTATTCAACATTGTAAACTATAAAAAGGAGATCTCAAGTTTGACCATTATTCAATTAGATGTGTTCAAAAATAAATTAACCACCAACAAAAAAAAAAAAGTGACTTTGGTTTTTAAAAGATCTTTTTTAATCATTTGATTATTTATCATCTTATCTTCATTAATTATTTTTCAAGTGATATGTATACATGAGTATCTTCAACGAGATGTCTAAAATGATGATTATATTATATATATTGTGAATGTAATCATGGAGTTGATAGCTTTTCAACATTGGCATATCATAAAGCTGAAAACGTCACCTTCAAATTGTTACAAAGTAATAATTACTATTAACAATAATTAATGGAATACCGTTATATATTGTCAACATATTGTTGATTAATTCTATAGTAATTCTTTTATTTCCAATCAAATAAACAAACAAATAAATAAAACAATGATGAATATGAAAGCTAAGGAGATCAACTTGCATGACTTTATCTTCTCTTTTTTATCTCTTCTAATTTGATGCACATCTCGCAATTTACCTCATCCACCAATCTATATATAGAGCTGAAACATTGAAAGACACTTAAGTTTGAATTGAAGTCAAACTTATATATCTTAAAAGATTATTAAGTAGATGTTTACGTAACATATCTTCACCTTGTACAATTATACTAATAAAATATCATTTATATCAAATTTTGCGCAATTTGATATAAGTCCATAGTCATTAGTTACTAGCTAGCCAGAGATGATCTCATGGTATAACTGTACGTATAGCATCAGCTTGTAACGTTAGATAAAAGATTACAAGTCTAACTCTAACACTTGTACATATGGACAAAAAATATGATATATATAGTCTTTATTTATTCGTAATCATATGAAATAATAAAATATTTTATATAAACATCATTATCACCCAATACACTATATCACATGTACATGACAACTGTATACTTAAACATATATAGGTATTTGGTCAGATGTTTTTATTCTCTACAAGGTTGCTTATAGAATTAGGAAATGATAAACCTAAACGACCCTTTGACTTTGAAGACGACTAGGAAATGAAAGATTTTTATTTGGGAAAGAAACAAAAGAAAAAATGGCACTGACATGCCCGTGACAAATAAACCGCACATGCCCACCGTGATGATAATGTTATTACCCGCCAGTTGGTAGGCTTATATTGTGTATTTAATTTAATTTAATTACAAAAATTATAATATAATACTCCGTAATATATATTAATTTATTCTTGACACCGTAAATATTCATTAATTTGTAATTTTTTTAAAAAATTTAGTTTGAGGGTGTATAAGTACAGTGGTGCAGAACTTGATCAAGAGAATATTAATAAAAATTAAGTTCGTAACTTTTAAGTACGAAAATTATATATACTTTACTCATTATTTATTTAGAGAAAATTCATCCCAAATCTTGATCACATACATCCAAAATTTCCCAACTCATGTCAGGCGCAAGACAGATCGTTCTTTCTACACTTCATGTGAACCCCTCCATCCCACCTATGAATTTCAAGATACCATTTTTAATTAATCTTTAATTTAAATTAGCAAAAAGAAAATTTTAATTTAAATTGACTGATAAATTAATTATTTTATCAAATAAGGTCAAAATATCAATTTTAATTACTTGTCAATTAGTCATAGTGTAATAACACATCTATTATCATTATTTCAAATAGATTATCACAGTATTAAACTCTGATTGTGAGGATTGATTTAGGGATGTAAATGAGTCCGAGCAGCTGGTGAGCTGCTCGATTAAAGCTCGGCTCGATCTCAGTCAATTTCAAATTTAAACCAATTCTTTTCATAACTGAATCGAGCTCGGACTTCAATTTTCAAGCTCAAACCCGAATCGATTCTTTTCATAACTGAATTGAGCTCGAACTTCAATTTTCAAACTCAAGCTTGAACTCGAGCTCTTACCTATTATTTATCGAGCTCGGCTCGTTTATACCCCTCCATTGATTTACTTTGATTTGATTGACTAACTAAACCACCCCGGGGCGAGGGTTATATTTTGTTGTGTATATAAATAGTAGTAAAATGAGAGGCAACTTTCTTGGTGCACTGTCGGCTTTATCTATCTTCAACTTTGTGCACCAAAACATAACCCACAGATGGGTTACCGAGGGCAAGTCATGTCAACTTCTGTGTTAATCATTTCAGCGGCGTTGCTGTTGTTGTTGTTGGGAGGCGCGACGGCGGAGGCACATAACGCCACCACCACCACCAATATGATTGCGCGCCGGAGAGCGGCGGCCGGCGGTGGGTGCAACCTGTTTCAGGGGAAATGGGTGGTGGATGTCTCATACCCTCTCTACCAATCCTCAAGCTGCCCTTTCATTGACCCTGAATTCGATTGCATTAAATATGGGCGCCCTGATAAACAGTTCCTCAGATACGCCTGGAAACCTGACTCTTGCAACTTGCCCAGGTGAATATTCATCCTCACCTCCCTTCTAATTTTATCCTTCCATTCTTGCCCAAACCCACCCCACCTCGGATTTAATTTCTTCAGCATATAACATAAATGTGCAGTCCAATTATCAGCTTAGACTTTTAGTTGAGATAAACTTTCAATTTGAATTGGTATCAGAGTTCATTCATCTGTTAGACTATATATTCTTTAGTCGAGACGGAACACATCATTCAACTGAATTATTGAACAACTACTGTAGTATAAATTTTATAGTGGCGAAGATAGATAACGAATATCGTACGAGCATAAGACATGACGATGTCGGTGTATCTAATAATTGAATAGTGAAAGTTTTATAAATGGTATATTTTAAGATTGGAGTTACGTTGCAGGTTAAGTGAGTTGTCATTTATATATATTTTGAATAAATATATATATATAATATTGTAGGTTTGATGGTGTGGATTTGTTGAGGAAATGGAGGGGGAAGAAGATTATGTATGTGGGTGACTCACTGAGTCTCAACATGTGGGAATCTATGGTTTGCATGATTCACCAATCGGTGCCCAATGCCAAGACCTCCTATTCCAGGACTGGAACACTTTCTTATGTAACCTTTCAGGTTGGTTTTTTTTCTTATTTAATGTATTTTTTTAAAAAAATATTTTGCCATATGAAAACTTTTTTTTTTTTTTTTGAATGTTGGGTATGGTTTACTGTTGGTTCGTCATTCTTGAAAGACGAGAGAATATTTTTAATATTTTTATTTAGTAATTGATAAGACAGAAAATAAAAAGAAAATATTGTTACCCCATGAGGGGAATCTCTTAAATAAAGAGAAAGTAAAAAAAATAATAATAATAATTTATTTTCAAAAAAAAAAAAATAATTTAATATTTAATTCATGTAATTAATCGTTTTCTTCCTCTGAAAACGTTTTATTTTGATGAGTACTTAAATTTTTAAATGATGTGATGTTTTGAGAATATACAACCACATCTCATTGGGTACATGACAATATAATGAGGAAGAAATTTAGCGTGGCAACATGTGTGACAGCCTTGATCCAACCAAAGATTAAAGGACATGAATAATTAGATAATATTATCTTGGTACAACCAATCATTAAAATATGAAGAACATAGATTTGGACATTCCAAAACCAATCAATGCGGTTTTCTTGGTCTACAAAAATTGACTTTTGCCTTAACCAAAAGCATATCATATTTGCAAGTCTCTATATGCTCTACATTTTCTTTTTCTTTTTTTAATTATTTGTAAAATTGAAAATCAATTATAGAATATAAAATATTTTAATTTAAAGTCACACTTGTGTGAGACTGTCTCACGGATCCTTATCCGTGAGACAAGTCATGTCAGATCGGGTCAATATGTAAATTTATGACTTATAATGAAAAATGTAATACTAATCAGGGATAATGTGTTTATTACTTGGAAAATGTAAACGTACTCTCTGCTTTTCTGTTTCTTTAAAAAAAAGAAAAGGAGAATTTCTTCAATTAATAGACATATTTTTTTTTTTTAAAAAAAGGAGAATTTCTTCAATTAATAGACATATTCTTACGGTCTCTACTCATACAATTGTTATCTGTATGTACATGTTGCAGGACTATGGAGTAAGTATATATCTTTACCATTCAACTTACTTGGTGGATATAGTAAAGGAAAATATAGGAAGGGTCTTGAAACTGGACTCCATACAACAAGGTAATGCATGGAAAGGAATGGATGTCCTCATCTTCAACACTTGGCACTGGTGGACTCACCAGGGAAAATCTCAACCGTCAGTTCCCTTTTTCCCCACTTTGCATTCATAAATCTTTTCTACATCTCACGTTTATGTTTACTTCTATTCTCTTTTAGTATACACACCCTTATTTGGTGTAATAAGTAGGGTTTTTGTTGCAACAACCAAATTGGTCAGGCTATTGGCTTGGTAACCACAAGGTTACAAGTTCGTGAGAACGGCCTATTAGCAAGAAGTTTGAACTGGTCAGCTATACGCAACCTACGCTAGTTTACCCTCATTGTAGTCATTTACCTATTAGAGTCACAAAACGAGGTTTAACCAATGCAGACCCTCAGGTAATGGCTGTGGGTTTCCTTCTATCACTCAAAAACTAGAGGTTTTGTTTGGCAGATGGGATTATGTACAAGATGGGTCTCAAGTAACCAAAGATATGGACCGTTTGGTGGCATTCTACAAAGGCTTAACAACTTGGGGAAGATGGGTTGATCTCAATGTTGATCCATCCAAGACCAAAGTCTTCTTCCAAGGAATTTCTCCCACTCATTACATGTAAACACTTATCCTCCAACAATCATTTCAAATAATCCAAGAGTTTCACTTGTCAATGGTTCCTCAAACGCAGGGGTAAGGAGTGGAGTTCATCAACCAAAAACTGCAACGGGGAGCAGCTGCCACTAGAAGGAACGACGTATCCTGCAGGAGCACCTGCAGCCGCAGTTGTCGTTAATAAAGTCTTGAGTAGGATCCAGAAACCAGTTTATCTGCTCGATATCACGTTTCTGTCACAGTTAAGGAAAGAAGCCCACCCATCAACTTACAGCGGGGATCATTCGGGTCTGGATTGCAGCCACTGGTGCCTTCCTGGACTCCCCGATACCTGGAACCATCTTTTGTATGCAGCTCTCTAGTTCTGTGAAGATAATCTTCTCCTCACCGTTAACTCCCTGGCCTCGATAAGCTTATATATGAGAATTAATTCTGTAAGAACAAACACTTGAAATCATAGTTTCTCGTTAGGTTCTGTTTCCACTCATAGGCATTGGTTGTAAAGTTATTGGACACTGGTTCTGCTGTAAACTCATTCATCATACACCTGTCTAAAATAAAACAATCACATGTTAATTTAAAACTCAAAGTTGATTTATTCTATGAAGTGCAAAGTAAACAGTTGAATATTTCCGAACACTGCAGTGGATTTAAAAAAAAAAAAAAAAAAAAAAACACTTTGGGGGATAAAAACTCAAAGAGTGCAATTTCTATTTCACCAGAAATGTAACACAAGACATGATCCAATTTATGTGTACAAGCATCCCGGTACTTTCACCCAGACTCCATACAAAAATTATTGCCACACACATATGAGATCCCTGCAAATTTCTCGGACAGAATAGCCCACCATCTTTTAACTGATCAGCATAACCAACTTAGGCCTGGGAAAATTAAAATATAAAACAGCACTTTAAAGATCTCTTTAAGTCTTAGTCGTCTGAGCACATTATCAACGTAGATATTAATATGAAGTGAAAGAAAAGGCTCGAATTCCTCTAACACAGTTAATAAATGAATCTCCTAGCAAGTTTCCAATATATATATATATAGGGTCAAGTTCCTGTGCGGACAGTGCTTCCCGTGCAGCCATGCGGTCACTCACCATTAGGTACGCACAAATGCACCACAAAGTGTTCGGAAATGCACCATTAGGTGTGGTGAGGCGGTGCATTGGTGCATTTCATTGTGGTGCATTTATGTATACTTGAGTGTGAATCCATACCGGCCGCACGGGATGCACTGTCCGCATTTCAACTAGTATATATATATATATATATATATATATATATATATATATATATATATATATATATATATATATATATATATATATATATATATATATATATATATAAGGAGCCAAGTGCAAAATACAATATAAAATTAGTTTATTTGTTCCACAAAAGAGAGTCCAAAGTTAACGAAAAACAAATTAATTTGATTGCATTCTCAACAAACAAGGTATTTGTGCTAATAACTTTTATGTAATATATTAAGGAAACAAACCACTAACATAAACTCAATATATGTAAGAAATATTGAAAAAGAAAAATAGAAATGAAAGTGTTGAATTTTATTTTATTTGAATAAGGCACAGTAAATTGGACAGAAGTATAGAACTTACCTTCAAAATGAAAATGATCAGTAACCAACATAAACAGCTGCATTTACTATATAACAGTCATCATTTTTATCTCCCATCTCTTCAACGTGTACACCACTTGAGCATATTAGTCCACCATCAGCAACTTCAATGTTCGTAATTTTTCCGCTTTGTCATCAAACATCATAAAAAGGAACATCAAACAAGTGTTACTTTGGAATTTTAAGAATTGATTATGTGAACAGATATGCCAACAACCACAACACAGATGAAATACTAGAGACAGAATCAACATTAGTATTGATTTTTCATTTGCTTTCCATCCATTACAAGGTTGTCTGTTTCTTATTTAAACGTTTCTTCAATTTTCCCAAGAATGATATTAGAAGGTAAGACTTATGGTAGTACCAGTAAGCATTATTTTTGGGAATTATAGTTGCTTATAAACACCTAGAAAAACGATTTCAGATGAATTAGATTTACTTACTATGGAAAGACAGACTTGATCTTCTCAATATCTAGCAAGTGTTGGAGAGACTGTGGAACTCCCAGTTTAATCTCAAGCTTCATCTGATCAAAGGTAACACCAGGTACTGATCCTGCTTCAACCACATTAAGTTATGCCCCATTCTTGAATAAAACCGAACTTTAAAGACAATAGTTTCATTCTACAAAGTGCATCAACCTTAATATGCATATCATTAGTCATATTCACTATTCCACCTTAGTCTGAATATACTATTTTGCTAGAAAATGCCACAATTAAACTACTGATAGTGAATCTTTTGAAGAATTCCTCAGTAGTTCTTAATTTGTTTGAGGTCAATGCAGAAATCATAATTCTGGTTACTATAAAAGGAAATAGTAAGTAAAGGTAAACGAAGAGCACCTCTCCTGAATGCAGGGATTGAATTAGAAGAAATTGCATCCCTACAAGCCCGCATTGCAGCTGATGTAATGTCTTGCCTGTTTCATCAATGATTTTAACTGGGCTCAATCCAAGATTGCATTTTGCATTCAAATTCTGCGCGTACACATAAAAATACAATAGATAGAGCGAGAGGAGAGATACCCATGTTGATCATAGCCAACACCCATTTCAACAAAAAGGAGCTTCATTGAAGAATTGGGCACGGAGGCAGCGGTGTTCACCTGGGAATGCTCGGCGGCCATTGCAGCAAGGTGGCGATGAATTCGAGGTGAAGAGGAAAGGGGATGGCTTTGGTTTGTACTAAACCTCAGCAGTGGAGGTGGAGCTGAGAGTTGGGGTTTGAGAAGAGAATGAAGAGTTGAGGAAGGTGAGCGGAGGAAGAAGTGCGGTAATTGGGGATTTTTGATCGAGCAAATAGACAACATCCTCACTTTTGGTACTGTCGTCGTGGGTCGTGGCCGCCGCCGGTGTCCAATTTCTAAGACCTACTTTTTTTTTTTTTTTTTTTTTATTGATACATTTATGTATTGTGGAGATATTTTGTGGTTTTTGAATAGTTTTTTATAAGTGTGATTAGGAAAGTAAAAAAATAAAATAAAATTGATTAAAAAAAAGGTCACTATTAGTGCGTGCACACTTGTAACACGTACGTAGTGCGCGCGCGGTTGGCATATTTTTTAAGAGCATCCCCAACAAAGGGATTTTGCACAAGAATTAAGGGTCCGTTTGGAAAGGAGTTTTTTGCATTTTTGGTCCCACGACTATAGTGGCACTAGCAGAATTGATCTACGACTTTTGAACCTTGTCATTTTAGTCCACGACTATTGATTTTTTTGCAAAAATGGTCCTTCCGACCACTTTTCCGTCAAAATTCCACCGAAAAAAAAATTATTCATTTTTAACAGGGCTAAAATTGACATTTTACTTATCTCAACAAAATATATATATATATATATATATATATATATATATATATATATATATATATATATATATATATATATATATATATATATATATATATATATATATATATATATATATATATATATATATGCGATTGCATTTGAGAATCTTCGCCGCTTCTCTCGCCGAAAATATATACAGCGAAGTTTTTCCGATATCTTCGAATGATTCGACAGGCGTGCTGGCTCCGCCTCCAATGCTGCTGCCGGATAACCCAACTAGCCCGGGGAACGCCACGGCCGCTCCGCCGCTTACTGACAGCCCTGCCTGCTCCAGGAACTCCACCGCCTGTGGCAGTAGTATGTAGCCCAGTAATATTGTATGTAGTCAAATGTCAATTTTTTTCTTTTATTTTTTGAGATAAGTAAAATGTCAATTTTAGCCCTGTTAAAAATGGAGATTTTTTTTTTCCGGTGGAATTTTTGCAAAAAAATCAATAGTCGTGGACTAAAATTGCAAGGTTCAAAAGTCGTGGATCAATTCTGCTAGTGCCACTATAATCGTGGGACCAAAAGTGCAAAAAACTCATTTGGAAAGCAGGAAAATAACTTCTGGAAAATGACTCATTTTCCAGAAAACATTTTCCTTTCCGATATTTGGCTGCACAACGGAAAACTGTCTTTGTATGTTTGGTTCATTTTCCAGAAAATGAATAGGAAAATGACTAGAATTATATATTTCAATTATTTTTATTCCTTCCATTATTTTTTACTTCTTATATTATTTCATAAGTTCATTTTATGTTTTGTTGTGTTCTTCTTCCCCAAAATTTTATGCTCTAATGTGTTCTTCTTCCCCAAAATTTTCTACTCTAATGTGTTCTTCTTCCCCAAAATTTTCTACTCTACTGTGTTCTTCTTCCTTGCTTGCAATTTAGAAAAATAATATTTCAGTCAAAACAAATAAACATATGAACCCAAAACAACCACCTCCATTTCTATGCAAATAAGAAGAATTGATTTCACAAATAAAAAAAAAATAGTGAGAAATACAAAAAAAACAAACAAACAAAAAAAAAAACAAAAAAAAAAACAAAACAAAAAACAAAAAAAAAAACAAAACAAAAAACAAAAAACAAAAAACAAAAAACAAAAAAAAAAACAAAAACAAATATCGCCCAATTCACTGGTTTCCGAATGCGGAAACCAGCGATCTGGTAAATCTGGTTTCCGCATCGGAAACCAGAGCCTTTGCTTCCGATGCGGAAATCAGTGATGAAGATGTCTCCGGTGAAACTTTTCTGGTGATGGAATTTTTGGTGGAGCCTGTTTTCATATTGATGGAGGTTGAAGCTTGCAGATGGAGGCGTGGAGATTGCAAGCCTTGGTGCGTTGAGGGTGCGTTGGTGAAGATGGAAAATGACTTCCCCCAAAAAAAAGGGGAAGTCATTTTCCGGAAAAGTTGATGAATTTTTCATTGACTTTGAGTTATTATTCTTTGACTTCCCTTTTCCTTGCCTAGCCAAACACCAGAAACTTGGAAAATGACTTCCAGAAATCATTTTTCGGGTTTCCAAACACACCCTAAGAAAAAAATGGGTATGTGAAAGACAGAGGAGAGAGGAGAGAGAGGATTGGGGTAGTCCGGCTAATTTGTGGGTTTTGTCAGAATTTTGAGGGTTTTGAGGATTTTGGAGGGTTTTGCAGGGATTTTGTCAATTTTTTATTTTTCCTTTACTTTTTTCCATTTTCATTCATTTCTCTTTCCAAATCACACCTTCAAAAACTCCTTAAAAACTACATCAAGATCCTCACTATAGATGATGCCCTGTGGAACCCACTTTTTTGTAATAAATTCCTCTCTTGCATATAAACTCACATCTCCTCTCTCCACCATTTCACCCATTACTGTTCTAAAAACCCTTCAATATTTGTTAATGGCGATTCTCTTAAGATCTTATAACCTCTTCCTTTTCAAAAAAAAAAAAAAAAAGTTGAATTTTTTATCCCTACTCGACAAAGCATTTGGGAGGATGTAAATCATGGTTACTCAGTTGAACACATAGGTTAGAACCAAAGGGAATGTTCTTGTTGGTTGGTGTTGAGAAGGAAATAATTGTTGAGCGGAGATCAGTAAAGAGCTATTGCATGATGTTTTTTGTCTAGTTTAAGCTTTTCTTTTTTACTTGCTAGGGCAGTAGGGTGGCAATTTATTTGAGTATGGAATACAATGACTAACATCACGCTAAATTGTAAGCTTTTAGCAAGCACCTCTAACAAATCTTTAGTAAGATTGAATTGTAATTCCACTCAACCACTTCATTGTTCCTTGTGGAAGCTAATATGAATGAATAATTGTTATTTTGCTTTTAAAAAAAATTAATTTATTAACTTTGTAAGCTAACTAGTAAACAGAGTAGTTAGCCCATTATTAGTTCACTGTTTATTGTGCATTACACAACAAAATTCGGTGACAGAAAGGTATTGTCACCAACTCCATGTGCCAATGATTAGAGTGGAATGGAATACTTAAAAAGGGAGATAGCAAAATTAGGCATATTACGTAAGCACCAGTTTTGCATGTCCATTGGAACCATGGCCCATTGGTCGGTCCATCCATTTTCAGTCTATTCATTAGATAGTAGCATGGGATAGTGGATAAACTTTTTTCACATAATATATAAATAATCAATAAATCAGAATTACAACTTAGAATGGGTATCTCTCTCTCTATCTTTACAATTACAACAAAATGGATCGCAGTTATCCAGCCTGGGTTTGCTAGAGTTTAGCAAGCTGTAGATCTGCAGAGAGTCCTCTGCTGCTGCTGCTGCTGCTGTTGGTGTTGGTTTTGGCACTGCTCGTGGCACGATCTCGCTTTGTCTCTCAGTTCTTGAAACGCCCTCATCGTTTCCACATCAAAACCACCCGCAAACTGATCATCAAAGCAACCGTGTAACATATTCAGTCGACTAATCGTCAATGCTGAAAAAATCGCTAGGCGCCTGGGGACCGCCTAGGGCGCCTAGGAGGCCGACCGCCTAGGCGCCGATTTGCGCGATTTTTGCAACACTGCTAATCGTGCAAGTTCATAAATGGAGTAGGTGTAACAGTTTTAAGGTTACAGAGGAAGAATGCTTTTTTTTTTTTTTATACCTGGTGTACTCTAAATGCAAATCTGACGCCTTGAACTATTAGCTCTTCTTCCTCAGGACCACCACCAACCATTTCAAGCTCTGCAGAAACCCTCTTCATGTACTTCATGGCTAATTTAACAGATGCCAGCTTGATCTGCAATAATGGACACAACCCCCCATTGTTCATTACAACAAGCACCTCTGTCATTTCTCAATCAGAACAGTATATATTATTGAAGTTATAAATGCCAGCATGTGGGGCCCTCGTCTCCCACCCCCACCCACCCTCCTACTGCATATTCCACAGGAAGACTGTAAAACCCCACCCACCCTACTGCATATTCCACAGGAAGACTGTAACATAGGACGCCTGTGAATCTTGCGAGGATACACATGGCAGTATGCTGAATGTGCACACATGTAAACAGGGTCAATCATCAAGGCTTCTAAAAACTCAGTTTACCGCTAATATCTCTCTCCTTACCTCCCAAATCCATGGCACATTTATTGTCTTCCATTCCCCAAGTCAATTAAAAAGATTTCCATGGGTCATACATCTTGAGATTTGGTAAAGATCCCGATTATTATTTAATAGAAAACAATGATAAATGTTACAGTTCATGGCAAAGTATATTTATGCAAAGAGGAAGCTTCTTTCTTCTACCAGTTCTTTACTTTGCCCCTTGTAAGGCAGGCAAACAATGAAGTTTCAGGTAATTATATCATTAAAATATACAAAAGCTATCTTAGTGTGACAATATTAAAATTTAAAAACACAATGTTTTATTAAAAGGTCAACCTGAAGAATCGGATTCTTCTTTTTCTCACTACTAGACGAAACATGAAAAGGAAAGCAGACAACCAAATTGGGTTTAGAGATTTGAGAGTTCACATGTGCGCATGCAGGATATGGGGTATAGTATAGTATAATCGGGCAACATATTTTCATACTTTTGTCATCTAGTTACCTCTAATCTTAGTTTAATATTTAGTGGACTCTGTCCACGCAGTTTCCATTGCTTTTGCAACACATGTAAAATACTTCACTCAATTAAATAACCATTGGGCATTAACTTTCTTTCAATCCTATGAGTAAAAGATGGTGTTCAACATTCACCTAACTATTTTTAGTAAATTTGATATCATTCTCCCTAATTGTATTTAGAACACACCATATATCCAAATCCATTTTCAGATCCGGTTATGAATTCCTAATTACAGGTAAACGCTTCAGATTAAGAATTTTCGTTTTCCCATCATCATTCCTGACTCCTTGGTAATTCAATTATACCTACCCCCTGTGCTAAACAGAAGGTTTTAAAAACAGTACTGCAGTGCTTGTAGAGAACTTTACGCCTTTACTTTGTTTACTTGGAAAAGCTCTCAGGAATGTGAAAAAAGTTAGGAAGCAGCAGCAATGTATTTACCTGACTAGCATAACCTGTATCCAGCATCCAATTCATAGGAATTTGAAACAATTTGTATCTCCCGGAAGCAGATTCCCTCATTCTTGACAGATTATAAACACCGTGCTCTAATCTGCCAAATTGACACCAATGAGAATATATTGTTAGAATATAAAGTGCTTCATAGTTTCTTTAGAGTAAAGATTCGTTCTTTGATAGTTTGCAAACAAACAATGGCAATGTGGATGATGACGCAATTGGGAAATCATACTTTTCAAACAAGGCCTGCATTTTCTTAAGAGCTGGACCACAAGGTTGTCTAGGATCATCACGGAACAAAGATGCCTCAGATTCAAGCTTCTTTAGATCACAATACCCAAATGCAGCTTCCCTCATAGCATCTGCCTTATGCTCAGGCCAGTCGAAGTGTTTTAACACTGCCCTTTCATCAACCTATATTTTAAAATTTAACCATTCAGACCGTAATACTAAAGAATCTATCTCCAAATAACCCAAAATGCAAAAGATAATTTTTTTCCTACCAGGTAAGAGAGCTCATCATCAAGCCATTTAACAAAAAGCACAACATCCTCAATGTCTGTGAATGCAGCACTCTCAACTTCTTTGATTAAGAATCTAATGAAATCCCCTTGTGTTTCTACATCTGTCTTGATCTGTAATTCAGAAGATAAAAAAACAGTGATCAAAAATTAATTGAATGTTCCATCCTATGACCCTAAGTTTCTAATGAATGCTAGTTGTGTCCTAAATAAATGTAACCAAAATGTTTGTGGTGATTGTCATCCTACTCAGCAGTACAGACATGTCCTACTACAATTTAAGCATTTGGATTTCGAATCTAGACACTGTCTTATCTTGTAAGACCACTACCAAAATTCCAAGAAAATGTGTAGTAGGGTAGCCAAAGATGACAGCAAGATGGGTGATGGGTCAGTTTTCATGGACAGAGTGTAAAAACTAAAAAGCCCAGTGATAAGTGCAGTAATTAAGCTAATAATAACAGTGGTGACTAGAGAGTGGCCAAAGGGAGCAGAAAACTTACTGCAAGTAAATGCGAAGACCGGTTCTCAATTTCCCCGATCATATCCTTGGCCGTTGCCGTCGTCGGGGCAGAGGCCTCACAATAGCCTCCGGACTCACGCCGGGAGTCCCTCCGCATAAGGGAATGATAGAATTCCACAACCTCTGGCACCCGTCTTACTTTTGCAGGCACGGGTTTCAAGCCCCTGGGCGGCGGAGGAGGTGGCGGCGGCGCCAGGGCTGCCACCTTAGCGGACGGAAGAGCCGGCGGCGGAGGCGGCGGCGGAGGTGCTGGGGGAGCAGCTGCTGCTTTTACCTGCGCCATGGGTGGAGGTGGAGGAGGAGGCGGAATGTGAGTAATCTCCGCCATTACACGGTTTGCAGAATCGGCTAGAGATCCATACGAAGGAGAAGAGCAAGAAGAACGCAGAGAAGACGATGAACAGGAAGACAACAAAGACGAAGACGGTCTCGGAGGAGGCTTAGGAACCCGCGGAACTCGGGATCTTAAGCTCATCAAACTCTCCGATGTATCTGTCATTTCCTCGGAGTTAGACCGAGAATGCCTTGGCTTTTCACTGATCTCCATCGCCATTTCCATGGATCCTTCCTCTTTCTTACTCTTCTCACTATCAGCCTTAACGTTGTCAATCATCGGTGAGAAACTCGGTTGAGTCGCGCATTTTCTCAAACACTTGGTGAGCACCGATTTGTGAGTCGTATTAGTCACATCTACAAGCCTCTGAGCTGATGCTAACTCGTCATTCGCCTTTTTCAGCTCCAAAATCTCAGCTTCCATGCGTTTTAACTTCTCTTCATAACGGCCGTTTTGCTTTACAAGCTCCATGTGTAAAACCTCAACTTCCTGTCTAAGCCTCTCGTTCTCCGCCTCCAAACACTCGATTTTTCTATGTGAGCGTTCCAGTTCCGAATCTCTAACAGAAATCTCGTTCTCCAGAACCGGGACTATCGCCACCGATTCTCTGAGGAGTTTCTGCTCGAGAAGCTCGGTCTTCAACCGGTACTCTCTATCTCGCAACTCTTCGACTAAGCGGAGCAGCTCGGTGACGTCCGGCGGGCGGGGCTGGACCTGGGCGGAGGAACGCGGAAAGTAAACGCCGAAGGAGCGCGAGAAGACTGCGCCCTTCTGCGGTTGCTTGGCGGAGCTCGGGGAAGGAGTATGCGGCTTCGGCGACGCATCCGGCTTCGGTGGTTTGGGGTTCGCCGGCGACTTCTGCAACCCCATTGCCACTTTAACTTTCCCAGCTACCATGCTTGCATGTAATACCAACACACCCAACTCAGGGTTTCACACTTCACTTCACCTCTCTCTCTCTCTCTCTAGAATGTTAGTCGCTGTCCTCTCAGACTGTAACAATGGAGGTCCTCTGTGAAGAAAAGTGTTTTGAGTTTTGAGTTTAGAGAGAGAAAGAGACACGACTCTGTGAGAGCACGGATGTCGAGGAACGGTCTTCTTTCTTGGATCCGGTCTGATAAAATTTACTCCCTTATTAAATTATATCGTATAAAAACCACTCTCCACTTTCCACTCTTTATTTCCCATTTTTATAAGATTTAGTGATTTACTATTGAGTAACAATTAAGACTAATAAATACAATAATCTTCTCTCATGAGATTGAATATTCAACCCCGACTTAAGTGATGTAAATCACAGTGATTTAATAAATCAGCAATCAGGGTCAAATAATGTCTATTGAACCATTAAGCTAAGCTGGTTCATGCTTAAATACTGTAATCTTACATATATATATAAAGTTACTAACCGAATGAACGAAACATAATTATTGTAATAAAATGTTACAAGTTTAATTCTTATCAACACCGTCTCTATCAAATTTGTCACTCATAAATTTTGTAATCTTGTTTACCTATCTTGTATAATTTACAAATTATTATTATACAATAACACTAGAATTTATCCAATAAATACTCTTAGATCGTAACAATATTATGTCTCTTTTGTAATAAAAAAAAAAAATTAGTGGTAATAGATAGCATTAGAAGAGAACAAATGATTTGTATCTCTAGGATTCGATCTTTTTTTTTTTTTTTTTTTCCGTTTAATTCAAGCGTGTTCCACTTAAGAATGCTTTTTACTGAAGGATCAGGCAAAAATGCACACCATTATTGTTTTGCTCTCTTTCATCAAAAGAAGGTCCTAAATAATATTACAATTACAATTATTAGTTTTAGAAAATCATTTGTGTAATCTTGAAACAACGTACGTTATGATTTAAATTTCAGAAATATATAGACACCAGATCCTATTGTATTTTATTTTGTTTGTTCTTTCCAATTAATTTTTATAATTTTAAATTATTACATGTACATCTAAGAGTTATAAAATTTTAAAATCATGCATTTTCGTTATAGATATTATCATTTGACGTGACTCTATAAAATAAGTGTTTTTATACATATTCCATGTATAAGAAGTCTTCTCAAATTATCAGGTTAATGACTTCGAGCCACACCGATGAACAATAAGTGATTAAATCAAATACAACTTTGTTATTAAAAGTATTTTTAAATGAGATTTCTTATTCACTCGATTAATGTAATGGGACGCACCATATCTTATTCCCTAATTAAAATAACTTGTTTATAAAAAAAAAATATTTAAAAAAAATGAAAGGAAAATGTCACCTAATTGTTTTGTTTATTTTGTAGGGAAATATGAAATGAGTTGGATACAGAGAACGTTACTAGCAATTTTATAAAGTGGAAAAGTACTTCTAACGGTCAGCTAACTGATCCGTGAGAAGGCATTTCGTCTCGTGATATTTTGGAAGTTTTCGTGGGGTGCTTGCGATAGAGGGCACTTGATTTGAATTTTGATTCCTTCACTTCATTTGTCCTCTTTTTTAAAAATAAAAATAGAAATTCTTTTGCACTTTTTATTTTTATTTTTTATTTTAATATTTTGGTTCAAAAAGAAAGTGGGGTACATTCTTGTTTCAATTTAAAGTAAAATAAATGTCAGTGAAAATTAAAGCAAAAAATCTTCCAATGAATTCAGAGAGGAAGTTCACTGAATCAATTTGAAATAAAACAACAAATTTGAAATAAAACAACAAAGAGTAGAGATGAAGCTAACAAAACCAAAGAAAGAAAAGAGGGTTCTTTTCCCTAAATTATAAGGTTACTGTTGCTTTTACTCATCCACAAAATATGTTGATCTCATATGTTAATCAAATAAATTTAAAAAATTGTAAGTTGAGATTTACTTTGTATATTGAGAACATTCATAAGAATGTTAATATGAGTGAGCATCTCCATTTGCAGTTTTTTTATGAGTTGGAGGTGAGAGATGATACTTGGAGGAGAGAGGAGATATGAAAGATAAGAAATTACGGAGTATATTTGTATGAGTAGTGATGTTTTTTGAGATCCAAGAGGTGAGATAAAATGGGAAAAGTTGTGCTTTAATTGCGCGTAACTACAATAAGCGTGCTCAGGGGGTGTGTAAATACCCTTTTTTAACATTTTTTTTCTAACAATTATGTTTTTTTTTTCCTTTTTTTGTCTTCTCTCATATATTCTCTTTCCTAATCACATGTGCAAAAATTTATCAAAAACTATAACTATTATGGATGCTCTAATTGACTTTCGAAAAATCATGGCAACCTCCCTTTAGCATTCCTAACAAGTAGTGGCGGATTCACTATAGGGATAGCTGCCCCCACTCTCCCACTCATCCATATATATAGTAGCCCTGTGTGTATATATGTATAGTACATCTTTATATATATATATATATATATATATATATATATATATATATATATATATATATATATATATATATAATAAGTAAACAAAATGTGAGTTAAGATGATAAGTTGTGTTCCTAACCTAAGAAATGTCAAGGAGTTGAATCTTAGTGTTTTCCCTACATTTTTAGCATTCTTTTAAATTAATAGTGGGATGTATAATTTATATTATTTTTTATTTCAATCATTTTATCAAATTAATAATGTTTTATACTTTGTTATGAATAACTTTTTATAAAATTTTGTTGTGTTTTAATTTGATTTTTCATTCATATTAACAAAATTGAGTTATTGTTTTCCTAACAGGCGCAATGGATGGTGCCAACTCTTTTATCTTTTTTCTCTTTTTGTTCCTATTATTTTTTCTTTTAATTTCACATGGCTCTTAAAAGTTAAATCTAACAACAAATTTAAAAATGAAAATAAGAAACAAGAAAAAATCACTTCATCAATGGCGATGCTCTTAGGCTTGCACATATTGGAGGTGGCATCGGATGACGTGAAATCACTCCTTTTTGTGAGTGTTGTTAAAACAATGTAGTCTCATTTTTTATAGCTACCTTGATTACTTTATTAGTTTTATCCCTCTTTATAGTGAAATTTATTATTTAAAAATTTAATCTATATTAATTCAACAATCGATATTAAGTTGAGGAATATGATTTAATATTTCAATTCATATTTTTTATTTTATGAAAGGATTTCAATTCATATGTTAATTGTCAAAATTTAAAGTTAGACACACACACACACACACACACACACACACACATATATATATATATATATATATATATATATATATATATATATATTATTGACTAAAATTATTACTTCTAATTTGTATTACATTTGCTAGTATAAGTATTATATTTCATCTTGATCCGATTTATTTCACGGATAATGATCCGTTAGACGATCTCACACAAGTTTTTGTCAAATTATAAATACCATTTTTGTCGTTTGTGTATATTAAAATATATGCACTTTTATTTATTTTTAAATAAACTATGGTTTTTTTTTTAAGTAGCTAATTTAGCATCTACTCTGAGACAACATATATACTAAAGAAAGCCAGTCAACAGATCAAGCGAAGTATGTGTATTATATTGATTATTAAGTTTGTCCTTGCACTTAATCACTCCAACTACAATACAAAAATCCTACATTAATTATTCGTGCACCTATTTAATATTAGTACATCACCACGTACACAATACTTTGGTTTGGAAATGATAGCCATATTATTTGTAAAACCACCCTGTATTAAAAAGGACATATATACCACTTGCAAAATACTCGAATTATTATTTTTATTTTAAAAAGAAGGTAAGTGTTCCCTATAAACTAACGTGACATATTTTGATTTTATTAATATAATTAAAAAAAAAAGTTCTTCGACTTCGGCCAATTCTTTGTATCCGACAGGGATGAAGGCAAGGAGGGTTGGTTTATTTTCTATTTTATTTTATTTAAAATAAATTAAAATTTAATTATTATTTTTTTAATAGGGTAACCGTTACCTCAATAATAACGAATAGTATAAGTAATTTTTAGTTTAATTGCATGATTTGAATTGTTGAATGACTCAATTATAACTTTTTGAATTAAAGGACCCAATTACACTTTCATGTGTAATTCATATTTTTGGTCATCAATTTTTTATTTTTTAATAATTCAGATTTTTTTAGTTTCCCTAGATTATATCATGAGACATGAGCTCCATGAACCCACCCCCAAACTAATGAATAACGGTCATCAATTTGTAATTCAACCACATCTGGTCTCTCAACTTTTTTAAATTAACCAAATTTAATCTGAAATTCCCTTGCGTTCACACAACTTTGCCCTCTTTATATGAGAGTATTTCAAATGTTTTATTTAAACTAAATTTGGTTTGTTTGAAAAGATGAAAAACTAATAATGATCAAAATGATAATTGAGCACTAAATGAAAATGTCATTATAGTCGATAAATTAAAAAAAGAAATTAAATTCATTATAAATCTTAGAGTTTATTCCATTTTTGTTATAAATTTATAGGAGACATGATCATTTTTAGTCTTAGAAATTAAATTCATTATAAGAACATTATCAGTTGGTTCTAGTATTATTGTGGCATGATCATTTTTAGTATTATGTCAAAAAAATCGTTGAAATGTCGTTAAATACAGAGACATTTTGATTTTTTTTTTAAATACAAAGTAGGTTGACCTACTATATATATATATATATATATATATATATATATATATATATATATATATATATATATATATATATATATATATATATATATATATATATTTGAAAAAATCAAATTGGAGATCGAATTTTTTTTTTATATTTAATGATATTTAAACTGTGTTGTTCATGAAGGACAAAAAATGTTCATGTCACAATAATACATTAATACTAAAACCAAAAGTGGATATTTTGATGAAAAAAGACTTAAAATAAATTTCACATATAAATCTAGGACCAAAAATAGAATTAACTCGAAATTTTACTTTTTTTTTTTTTTTTATAATCTTTGGTAGAGACTCTTCTTGTAATCATATTGAATTTCAATCACTCAAGGGTTAAACTATTATTAGATTACATATGAGGTGAATAATTTTACTACCACTTATTATTCAAAAAAACCCCTATTAATTCAATTTCTCACTTAAATACATTATAATAATTCTATTTTTTTTATA